CGGAGCTTGGTGCTTAACCTTTGTGTCTTGACAGAGAATATCCTCAGAGGACGATAGAGAACAGAGTTTGGAGGGCGGAGGCGAACCTCACCTTCACTAGCTGAATTCTCACAGCAAAAGGTGCAGGATCACTCATTCATGGGAATAAAGAAGAGGAAGCAGCGTTGAAAGATTTAGCTGCCACATTTCATGGAGACTTTCAAAGTTACCTTCCAACCCCAACGTCCTTAACAACGAGGCCTGTGAGATGTTTACATGATAACCTTCCCAACATGCTGGAAGAGAATGTGGAAGAACATTGCTGTTCACTCAGGGTGTGGCTCTAACCCTCTGGTGAGGTTGGATTCAAGAGCAAGCAAGACTCCAAAGAGACAATCAGCAATCTCTCTGCATCACATATCTCATCAGAACAATCGATAAGAGTCTAAACCCAGACGGAGATGAAGATGCAGTGACCATCCTTCAAAGACGCCGCAGCCAGACCCACATTTCCTGCATGGAAACGAAGGTCAGAATTTGACTGGACAAGATGTGGCAAACAAGGTACACAAGCTAGACTATCATGCGACAAAAAAGCTCGGTAAAGTGCCTTCCTTCAATCCCCTGAGGGGTGGAATAGAGGAGAGTGCCCTGGAGGGACATCCTTAGGCACATGGAGAATCACCATTCATAACTGAAGATGCCCTGAATCAGATGGCCTCAAAAACCGTAGCAGGGGTATGGGAATTCAGATACACTGGAAGATCCTTCCTTTCTGAGGAGCCACCTGGAGAAAAACTAGGTATAAAATGGACGACAATTTGGATGACCTCTTGGTACTGATTTAAGGTCAGAAATATTGTGTGCTTTCCTTTACCTCAAGTAGCCAGCTGAAGGTTTCTGGTTCAAAACTGTGTACAAGATGGCTGTGACAACATGAGTGGCAGTGTCATCCTCAAACACATTTCGATGAGATACCTGTCTATGAGCCAGGTGAGACATCGTTAATGTTTCAAACTTTGTTGTCGTTTTGTACTGAACAGTCATCCTGGCTTGTTTGTGAGATTTCTTTGTGTCTTGGAAATATTTTGCCGATCCTCCCACATTCACCAGTCCTCCCAAGAGACTCAACTTCAGAGAGCCAGAGATGTTTAATAAATTTGACTTCTCCTCAATGGAATCTGATGCGGTGACATTGAATTCAGTGTTATGTTGACGTGTTACACTTGTATTCTTTTGTAGCTGATCTGGATCCCACAGAGTTACACCTGTTGACAAATTAATGATACAATGTTAGGTCAACAAAGCCTTCAAATACTACAGTTTAAGCCTATATGTCTAACATTAAGCATTGTTATCCAAATGATACATATACTATTTAAAGGTTCTGTAAATGATCATCATTGCCACTAGATGTCGCACTAGACCACCAGCATCTTAGACCAAAACAACTGCCTCCACAACAACCCCCACCCCCCTTTCTATTTCCAGCAAGGCGTTATGAAGCCCAAGGAAAGTGTCCACGAAACACACAATAAGGAGCACAACTGAATAAATTTACACTGTGTACATGACATCTAACAAAAACAATCCAGCCAGAACCATCAACCTACTCTAGCATTGACAAGATATCCTCTCAGTAAAGACAGATAAGTATTGGCTCCATGGTCGGACTGGGAAAGAAATTCAACCTTGGACTGATCCACTGGGACCGGCCGCACAAATGGCACTGATGGAGCTGGTAAACTTTATGGATGTAATGATCACTCACCGGCTGACCAGGGTCAGTAGTGCTCATGGCCAGTCCATGTTTCAGTCTCATCTCTTTATTTGTTGGACGCCTTTTTAGCAGAAATTTTATTTCTTTAGTGGAGGAAGTTCTAGAGGGTCACTTTCACCTGAACACTTTTTACTACACTGTACTACTGTACTGATGTGGAGAGGACCAATGGTTTAAGAAAGAGAGACTCACATACACTAACATGCCAGCTACCAAAACAAAGACCAGAGAAGCTCGGATTATAACACACAGAGGGGGTATGACTTCTTTCTCTTCTCAGGATGCCATTACTCCACTATATTAATGTTTAGAATCTTGTTTAAGGAACCTTTAAACTGGGCATTGGTTTATTTATTTGTGTATTCATGTTAAGGTTAACTGAGACATTCAACACATCTTACCTGGAACAAGAACATCCTTCCGGCAGTCATACAGTGTGCCAAGCTGGAATGGTCTTCCCAGGGCTGCAGTCTCTATGGTATCATCATCAGATGAGGCCATGGTGTCAATAAATTTCAACTGGAAAACAAAACACAAAATGTACTTAATTATTAGAACATGTAACTAATTAAATAGTCCTATGATGCTTTAGATAAAGTATGTTATTGATCTTCAAAGGGAAATTGCAGTGTTGCAGCTGCAATTCACAAAAATCTCAGATCTCAGATGTACTATTCAAAACAAATGAATAATATGCTTATGCTTTGCCACTTAGAGAGTTATTTTCCTCTACTGGCTCAGAGGGGAGTCACTGGGGTGGGCAGGAATGACTTCCTGTAGCAGCCTTTATTACATCAGAGCTGAAGGAGCCTGTTGTCTGACAAGTAGTTTGTGTAGGGGATATGAAGTCTTTCATAATGTTTAACAGTTCATGCATCAACCCTTTCTCAACAACTAACTTCAGGGGTTCCAGAGCCGCAGCACAGTTTCTTACTGTCGTTGGCTCTGATGCTGCTGCCCCAAGAGATGGCTGCAAAGAAAATTGTACAACAGACAAGTAGAAGACATGCAACATCTTGCTGTGCACATTAATGGACCTAGCCTTTATCAAGAAGTAGTTTGCTCTGTCTCTTCCTGTAGACAGTAACTATATTACACTTCCAGTCCAATCTACTGTCAAAGTGAAAGACCAGGTATTTGTAGCCCTGCAGCACCTCCACTTCTTCTAGAATGGAAAGAGTGTGCAACTTAGTTCTTGTCCTAGTCCACCATTTCTTTTGTCTTCGGCCCCTACCCCTCACCTGCAGAGTCATCTGAAACTTCCTGCAAATAAAAGGGCAGGGGAACTTTGATTCATTTTAAAGTTAACATAATATGAATCTTTTATTTTATTAGTCTATGATAGCCAATAATTGATAAACCACCAATGCCCCAATATAATGGTGCCTCGTGTGTGAAGTTGAGTAACAATGCCGAACAGTGAGAGTCAGAGGATGATTCTCCTTGGGTGAGCAGGAATTACTTCTGTGGCTGCTTATATAACAATGGAGCCGACGGAGCCTGAAAACACTCAAAACTCTGTTATCTTGACTTAACGGGATAATTATCAGGACATGAGCTGGTCTCTCCGAGAGCTCCCTTTTTAAATACGCTGTGCTTTAATAGTCTCATAGTCTCGTTTGAAACACAGCTCCTAATCCATATACCGGATACTTACTACAAGTGTACATTCACACACTGACAGAACAGCCGTCACGCTACTTTCAAGTTGAGTATCTTGCCCAAAGACACTTGAACATGCAGACTATAGGAGCCAGGGATCAAACCACCAACCTCCTGATTAGTTGAGAATGTTTTCTACCTCCTGAGCCACAGGCATCAACTTTTTCCAGCTTTACCATTTCAAAATAAACCCTGATGTTCAATCAAATGACATCGAAAGTGATTAAAGTTGTGACAGAACTCACTCCCTCCACAACCCAGTCAGAATGCTTCCGCAATCCAGCAGTTGAGTTGGTATCTGTAAACTCTTGTTTTCACCATTCAGTAAACTAAATAATTTCCACTGAGAATAAAAGGATTCCCCAGCATTCAAACAAAATACATAAAGTTTGAGATATATACAATCTTTACAACAACATGCCCATGAATATGACACCAGAATAAAGTTGAGTATACTGCAAGACAGACCTTTACATGTAGAGCTGAAGCTGCCTCTCCTCTCGACGGTGACTCCAGTAATGTCGGAGTCAAGCAGCAGCTTAAATTTTAAAGTATGTGAGACACACCTATATGTGATTTCAGCAGGTGTTCATGTATCACTAGTTCAACTGATCCTGTCTTCAAAACGCTGTTGGCATGATCAGAAATGAACCCTAGCTTACACCCCATATTTTCATAAAGTATGTCAAAGCAGTTGTAAACATCTGTAGCGGCCACGTCTCCCAATGACTGCCAGTGTGATCAAAGTTCCCAGTTTAATAGAAATGTAAAAATGGAATAGCATATCCAAGTTATCCTTCAGCTTATCTTTTGAAGTTTATTATTTTATTGGGGAACTTGGCAGCTCCAGCTCTGTGTGTGAATACATGCACAACAACTGGTGTAAGGACTCTAAAATAACTGGAAGACACTGTTCCCCTTATCTGTAATATTGTAAGCTCAGGTGAAGGCCATTCTACCTGCCGTGAGAATTTACTGTTATGATTATTACGGTTATGTACATCTCACCACTGGCAAATGGTGGGCTAGCACTGGTTGAGCTACAGCTACATAAAACAGCAACAGAACACGTTTTCATATGTGGTTTTTATTATTGCTGCAGACTGTAACCGGGTTGACCTCAAGCATGTTCAGACAGTGAAATGCAGACACAGAGGCAGAATGCTGGTTTACAGGGTGATTTATTGGGTAATACTTTATAATAACGTGCAGTCAGAAGTCACTTATTGTTAACGATGAAATAATCATTCCAAAACATTGATAGAAGCTTGTCAATGATTAGTAAGTGTGTTAACATGTCACAAATCTGTTAGAAGTCATCCATAAACTTTTAGTAAATCATAAAACAATCAATAACAAATCAGTGAATAGCAAGTGGTTGATATATTATGAATCACTTACAAGTCATTCAAAGATTTGATATTTCACAAATCTATTCTGAGTCTAATTGTAATTGTTTCTCTATACGAATTGGTTAATCAAATAATGCAAAATTAGTAATTAGTGAATAAATGTGAAAGATATCACATTCAGTGAGCTTCAGGAAGCTCATGAGGCTCACATAAGGACTGATATAAGGTTAGAGGTTCTTCAACTTAGAAAAAGAAACCAACATATTTAGACTTTTTTTTTTTTTTGCTAATTCATCGATATGAACCCTCAGGAATTTGGTGGAGAAAAGTAAGATTGTAGAGTTCCCTTTACTGGCTGTGAAGTTTCTTCTACTTCTAAATAAAGAACCCAGTGGATTGTCTGAGATGTTTCGTCTGGCTGTGACTGGATCCGTCCACCACCTGTAGTGCCTCACTTCTAACAGCAGAGGGCAGCACTGTCACATGTTGATTATTTTATCCATCACTCACGTCTTCAAAGTTGAATTCATGAAGTTCCAGTGGAGGTAAAACAAAAGATGAGAGAGGAGTTTTAGTTTAAGTAAAAATACATATTCATGAGACAACATAAAGCCACATTAGCTATGGTGGAACAGGAGCTGATAATTATTTGCATAATTATTATGATTACTGTCATTTTCAGGCCATTTTCCCTCACAACCCCTGCCATGGGTTGTCTTGTCCTCAGTTACTGCTTCTGTTTTGTTTCCCTTCAGGTCCTGGGAGGCGGAGTTACCGTACACCTGGGTGCACCTGGTCACGCCACCCAGAATGCATTTAAGACCATCTACCCCCCCTTGTTTTCCTCTCACTCCATCCCTGGATCTCCCTCTTGCACCACATTGTTTCTTTTGTTTGCATCCACTCACCAACTCTACTAACTAGCCATTTCACATATATTCAGTTATTGTATTTGGTATTATTGTATTGTATTGTATTATTTCAAGTTAAATAGTGTTTATTTCCCTCCGTTTGTCAAGGCCTAAGAGCTGCTTTGTGACAAACTGGGGGCTCATCATTTGAAGGAGTAACTAGTACTAATTGTTTCATAGTTTTCCATGCAGGTGGGCAGAGAGGATGTATTTGATGTTTGTGTTGATAGGATTTGTCACAACGCGGCTCTTAGGCCATGATTTACCTTGAAGTGAAGAATACATAAAATACCAAACACAACAACTAAATATATGACATGGGCAGACAGGTTCAGTGATGTTGTGGATGCATGAAAAGGTGGTGTTTGTACGGTGCAACATAAAAGTACGACCACACCAAAGAAACAACATCAAATGCATTCTGGGTGGACTGGCCAGGTGCACCCAGGTGTACTGACGCCAACTCCGCCTCCCAGGACCCGAAGGGAAACAAAACAGAAGCAGCAACCGAGGACAAGACAGTCAGAGCGCCGTCACAATATACTGACAGTAATTTCAAGGTAAATCCTTCATATAAACATCAAGGCACCTGGAACAAATGTGAGCGTTTCATCCCAGAAGCAGAATATGAGACTTAACAACTCATAACAGGGTTTTTATAGAATTGTGAAAAAGATTTCTAGACACTGATGGTTTATTGTAGTGTAAGTTTTAATATTCCTTTGGAAAGTAGAGGATTGTTTTATTATTTTTCCTAATTAAAAAAAAACATCACAGTGCAAACAATAAAGATAGAGCATTTTAGTAAAATAGAACAAATTCAAACATATCCCCTGAGATATTTGTTTAAAGGGTAATTACCGAAAAATTAATTCCTTTAAACCAATCACAATAAATGTAGATGTGTCATGGTAAAGCATTACCATTCTGACTTTGAGAAGAAAATAAGCTAAGCTAAGAAAGATGGTAGATTGGAGTTAGGGTAAAATAGCACATCAAATGAGAAGGCCCCAGGAAACGAGGCTTGTGGGAGATGTGGTTTTGCATTGATTAACATTTTCTAAATTTTTTTTACAGTAATTATACAAAATAAACATCTGGTTTGCCGCAGATATACTGTATACATATATATATATATATATATATATATATATATATCGTGCAGCAGGTAACTGCACATTTCAGGGAAATCTTTCAAATGTGGATACAAATTCTAAACTTGGCACAATTTATCCTAGCGCTAGTAAGTTAGCCTAGCGAGCTAATGTTAAGACAAGTAAACAAGTAGACTGTCTTACAGAACCTTTGGTACGTCCTTCATCATAAAAGGTTTGTAAACACATTGTGTTTTGTGCAGAGGAAATGTAAGAGTTGTGATTTGACATCCTCAGACTCTAAAACATCAGATTAAATGGAAATCTGTCTCGTGGGTAAAATTCTGTGGTAAAATATGTGTTTCCCTGTGCCAGAAATGGTGGCCATCTTTAAATTTTAAAATTTCAAGTGGCTAATGGGATTTTAAAAATTAAAGGCCTCCATAAACATCCAGTACCATACAGTACAGTAACTTTGGTGCTTGTATCCACATTTAAATCTGCTGCACTAACACAGTTTCATCCTGGTGGGGTTTGGATCCAAAGAGAGCCTATAAAAAATCCTGAAGCGGGACATTAACTAACACAAGAATGTGCACAATATACTGTCGAGTCGTGTGCGACGTCCTGAGACCTGTGTGTGTCTGCACAGCACCTGAGCGGAGGATACCTGAGACACCCAGTTTGTCCCGGGGAGATTAAACAGAGTGAGCGTCAGCCCGTGTTGTCGTGACACCAAACAGCCACACCTTGATAAATCTTCCAGAAAATATTTGAACAACCCCGAGGTGCATTTGACTTACACAGTCAGACACAGCTGACTGAACAGAACGTGTGTTCAAATAATCTAATCCTCCATATTTGCTCAAAGGATAAGACGAGTGTTTGTTCATGTTTTTTGTTTTTGTCAAGTAATTCCACAGAGAGACCAAACCAACAATGTGTCGGTCTGTCTCTCGTTACCTGCACACGTCCTCACTCTGTGTGTGGCCGCAGGTGCATCATCTATTAGTAGGAACTGATGAAGATGAATATCAGTAACAAATATCATCGGTCACAAATATATAATTCATTCTTTTTGTTTTTCATTTGTTTTACTCAAACGAGAGGATATAGTGCATTTGTCAGGGACTATTTTCGGCTGCGTGTGTGTGTTCATGTGTTTTTGGATGACAGTGATGCTCTTCAGCTGAGATATATCAGGCTTTTTGGATACACACACACACACACACACATAATATTTGCTTTGTCTTTTAAAGTTATAATCTGTAACTTTTCCACATTGACACAGGAGCATGCCGAACAGCATCACTGATGTTTGAAGCTAAACTGTTTTATTCAGTGTTTCTCCTGGTTTTAATCTCCTGGTGTGTTTGTTGTGGAGAGGAGGAAACCTCTGTGGATCATTCAGCTGATTCAGCTGGTGAAAACCTGCTGAACGTCTGGTTCTTGAGTTTTCAGAGAAACAGTCAGAACAAAGGTTAGCATCAGTCTCAGCTCCGACTCTTCCCTGAGTCTCTGTCCTCCGTACAGCGTCGCTCAGACTCTGACTTTAAATGTGAAGCTGCTTCGTTCAGTGTTTTAAACTGGGAGGAGACAACAATTCCCATGATCCCACGCTGTTTCATGACGCCACCCAATGTCATCTTTTGTTATTGTTTTGATTGAGAGACCCCTAGACGCAGACGTTACAGACTACAGATCAGTCTCCATGACGACCAGGTTACTCCCACCTTTGGTTCTACGTATAAACAAAAACACCATTTCAGATCAGCGTTTAGTAAGTCAGTGTTGTGGTTTATTGGTGAGTCTTCAGCTCTCACTGTCACTCGTCAGACACCGTACCTTTAAGACACTAAAGACACACAAACACACACACACACACACACACATACTTATACACACCACAGCAGCGCTCACAATCCTCCCCGCCTCCTGAAACAACATGGAGGGAGTGAAGACAGTAGTGTTACCGGTGTTACAGGAGGCTCCGACACAAACACTCTGTATTAAAGCTGCTAACAGGAAACACTGTGTGAAGACATTCGCTGTCTTTGTCTTTATATTCGGCTTTTTAACAATGAAAAGGACATTAAAACTGTATCAGAGATTCAAGGAGGAGAAACGAGGACGGTGCAAATGCTTGTAACTGACGTGTGTACGAGTGAACTTCGGCTCAAACTGCTGCTGAACAAACACAAGAAGTGAAACGTCAACATTTTACATGACAGGCTGTTTGTGACCTCCTTTCCAGTTTGATGTATACAGCACATGTGAAGTGAAGGTGTGTGTGTGTGTGTGTGTGTGTGTGTGTGTGTGTGTGTGTGTGTGTGTGTGTGTGTGTGTGTGTGTGTGTGTGTTCTGTGGTTCATGTTTCCTCTTGTTTTGACTGTATCGGTCTACTATCATCTGATCAGGACACTCACACACACACATAAACACACACACACACACACACACACACACATAAACACATGAAGCACAGGGTGAAGGTGTGTTATCAATAGCTTCTTTGTCCACCTTCAGTCTGCAGCTCGTCAACAACATCAACCTTCCTTCTCTTCTTTCTCTTTCTGTTCCTCTCTTCCCGCCTCGTCTTTCTTCTCTCCTGAAATGAAAGATATACGGATACATGAGAGTAAAAGGGGAAAGAGAAAGAGAAACCAGATGTTTTCTACAGCTGGGAGAAACTTCGGAAAGAGGGGAGGGAAGTTTTTATTGGTCCTGTAGTATTACAGCTTTTACGACTTACCTCAGAGCGGAAATATTTAAACTGCAGACAGAGTTACTCATGAGAAAAGTGCTGAAGCTGCTCTGTGACAGCGGAGGACCTGTCCGCCTGCAGGGCCATGAAAAACCACATGGTTTAATGAAAGCGAAGGGACCAGAGTAAAATGGCTTCCCACCTTTGTCTGAGAACAACAAAGGCCTAAAAGCTGCGACAGAGACGTCGTACGATGCTGAAACCTCACGGTGAAAAGCTTCACGTTGCAATGTGATAAAAGCTTTACGACTTCTTTCAGCAGGGACGAACCAAACATCGTTATAAAACATCATCTGCAGATACCAGCTGTTATTATATATAATGTGGTAAAAATGTGACTGAGCTGCAGTTGAACCTCCGGCTCCCTCTCACAGCTCTCTGGTCTCAGGTGGGTTTGAGCCGGTGGGACCGGATCAGTGTCCACTTACAGTGCAAATAATAGCCCTCTGTTCTCCTGCCCTCCCTCTCCTCCTCCTTCATCACTCTGGCTCTCTCACCTCCCTTCACCACAGTGCCCCTCTATTTCCTGCCTCTCAACAACTCTGTTCCTCCACTTCTTCCTCCACAGTCTTCCTCTTACTCTCACCCCTCTGGCCCTTGAATGTGAACTGTGCTGCAGTCGGTTCTTTGTCACCGAGAATGTGAAAAACACACCAGACTTTCACAATAAAAGAACTTAATTTCAAATAAATCCTGGAAACCAAACAACTGTATTAGTTGTCATGTGATCGTAACTTCTAAAATAATCCGACTGCATTAAAACATCCACGAAGAGGTCGTTTGTTTGAAGGGGAGCTGACACAGGAAGTTTATCATCATAAGGCGTGCACCCTTGAAAACCCCATTCGGTTTAATAAAAAGATGCTACTGTGTTGCATTATGGGAAATGTAGGATCCGGTTCTCGCCTATGAGCCTCTCCATTAAATCCTACTTGTGGCTGTGTCCCAATTCTAGGGGGCGTGGTCTGCGAAGGTGTGGCCCTTCATACGACTCACATCTGACGGTGTAATCCTCGGGCTCTCTGTCAGTGCTGTTTGCTGTCGTTTACCGGCGCACAATGAATCTTGGGATAGGTTGAACCCTATATAAACTCTATACCGTGTTGCATTATGGGAAATGTAGGATCCAGCTGTTTTAGCCTCTTTTTTGGTTTGCAGATTAATTGTTCCTCCCGTGTATCAAAGCTGATCGATGGTTTTCAGCTCTTTGCTCAGCTGTTCTTTGACGTGACGTGTAAAAATAAACACAAACATTTAATTTCCCCAGAGATTCAGAACTCGTCTCGGGTCTCTTGTGTCCTCATTAGTTCAAAGCTCGGACTCTGACTATAAAAGTCTCATTTGTCTTTGTCTTTCATTTGGTTGTTCCGTCTGAGCTCAAAAAGTTCTGCCCTGTCGTCCTGCTGCAGCCCTGCTGAGCTAAATCTGGTGCCCCCCCCCCCATGCACCACATGCTGGATATAGGCTATTCCCAGATTAACAACTGAACTGGGTTAGTTCTTCCAGGGCTTGATCCATTATACTATGGTTTCAGAAAACCCAAAAACCTCAGGGAAAGCTTCCATTAAGAGTCTGTCCCGCGGGAGGGAGTGTGCTGAACTAAGAACACACAGAACAGTGTTTGTCAGTGTGTGGAGAAAATACTGGTCAGTTAAAGCTGCTCTAATCAATACTTTTATATCAACAATGTCTCTGCAGTTTCCCGCTCTTTCTGGAGCGTCTTATCCACCGAACAGCAGGCAGAGTTTGCACCTACTGGACACAGTGGAGCATTCAGCAGCTAAAGAGCCAGATATTTCCCACAGGAGTTAGTGAAGGCCAAAACAGAGAGGGAATATTGGATCTATATTTACCACATGGTGACAAAATGGCCTAAAAATGAGGCTAATTTGCTCTGTATCTCTATCTGTGAGTATTCGCTGACAAAACTCAACTAATGCTGCTGTAAAGATCCAGAATCATATACACACATATTTGGTTCCCACAAGGGTAAGTGGGCTAATGTTCTGTTTTACCCTTTTCCCACCAAAATTAGCTGGTATAAGAAAGCAGGTACAAACCTAACCTCAAGATAACGGAGCATCTGTAATGAGACGCTTCGATCGGTGAGCGTGTGTTTTTAAAACTGATTTCGGGGCTGCAGCTTCACTCTTTCATCACAGAGCGAAGTGTAGCTGCAGTGTTTCTGGGTTTAGGTGACAGGTGTGTCTACATTGGGTGTGTCTGTTACCTTCAATACTCGTATCTGTAGGTCCCATTGTTCCTCTGAGTTGGAGGTGGTGAATGACAGTCACTGGAAGGCAGCGCGAACTGTCCGGTCACTGAGTGGCTGGGTGGGACGGAAGTTGTCACCCAGCAGCCCGTCATTCCCCTCCAGCAGCTCGGCCCCTTTAACGTGGGACCGCAGCCTCCGAAACTCCTCGATCTGCAGAGACACAAGTGGAGAGACTGACTTTCAGAGGCTGAACTGGGTCACAGCTCCAGATCTCAACATGCAAACTGACTGTCACTGAGCTGAAGTGACTAATATTAAATATTAGTATATTAAAACATCCAGTGCTTTTTACAGTGAATTATCCAGTCTAACATAAGGTGACAACATGGTTGCTTTGGCTTTGCACATCTTTTAAGTACTACTTATGACTTCAAATATTTGCTCAACACTCAGGGTTTCCTCCGGCTGTGAAACGCTCAGGTGATAAAGCTTTCAGGGCTGAGGGAGAAGAGGCTTCCTGAATACACAAGAGGAGCTGGGACAAAGAAAGGCTTGATAAAGATATGACAACAGTGTGGGAATGACATAGAGGACACTCAGTGACTACATGCGGATATATGTGGATCTAAATCGATAGAACAAAGACACACCAGACATATTCACAACATGTACAGAAACTGAGGGCTTATTGTTTCACTATTTAGTAATGCAGAAAGATTAAAATGTTCTGGATAGAGGTGAGAGTTATAATCGAAAAGATAATTTCAAAACTAATTCTTTCTGTCTGGTTTATCAGTCCCTCCAGGATCTGGCAATTGTTGCAGCTAAAACACCAGATTTTTTTTTCGTAAAAGTTGCAATGTTTTAAGACATTTCTTGCAATGAAACTGCGAGAGAAAATAGAAATTGCAAAAAGAACAACTTGTTCCAGTGAGAATAAATCCAGGTCAGTGCATTTATTTTAAAACTGCAGATACAATCACCTTGACACACGTGCGCTGTGTGGTGGCTGGTTACATCAGCCAAAACAAACATGACGGCAGGTCCTGTGCCGAGTGTCATGCTGTTGGCTCGGCGATGGAAGATTTACAGCCCAGTCTCTGAGTGCAAACCTTATAAACATAGCAACTGTTGAATGAAATACACAGTTGAATACTTGCATGCACTCTTTCACTGTGCACACACACTCTTGGTCTTTTAGCAGGCAATAATAGCCGGATGTTTGAGGTGTGTATTGTAGGTAAGCAGGACCTGCTGTTTTAAAGCACTTTCAGCTGTGTTCACTCAGCAGCGCCGTCACAAAACAAGCTCCTACAAGTTTTAATTTGTTTTCTGTTGCTCACTTTTCCAAAATCTGAATGTTCTACTGTGAAGGGCGACGCAGAGAGAGAGAGAGAGAGAGAGAGAGAGAGAGAGATGTGAGGCACAGATGCTGCTCGAGCTGAGAGGGAAAGGTGCATGCCACTGATCTAAAAACAACAGGAAGTTAGTTGTTGTGGTGGTTTGGTTGCTGAGTGGCACAAACAGTCAGAGCTGCAGCAGCGGCTGTGACACACAAACTAATGAGCTATTATACTACTCAATTAACTTAACTGGAGAAGCCGACGGTAACATAAAGCTGTAGGGTAAGTGTGCTTCTAGATTTTATGTTTTTATTCTTTTACATTAGCGTGCGTGTTCTGTTACGTAACTGGAGCGAGGTGCATCAGATGGAACTGAAATGGTTAAAATTTACACTGATTTTAAATTGTTAGAGCAGTGGTTACCAACCTGGTGGGCCGCGAAGGTATTGCAAGTGGGCTGCCAAATCATTCGCAATTTTGGTGAAGCAACGTAATTATAAATAAAATGTAAAAAAAAAAAAAAATCAAATATATAAAATAATATAAATATATATATATATATATATATATATATATATATGAAATGATCTTTAAAAACATCAAAAGCTTCAATATTATCACGGTTATCACTGCGATAAGCTAACGATAGGAACTTTTATCTTGTTTCCGGCTGGAACACATCATATACTTGTTTGCTAATCAACATGGCTACCGAGCTGGTTAGCAACACGCTTCAAAACCAGAAACAAGCAAAGTGAGTTTGGAGACGTACGTCAAAGGTTTTGCGCCGGGACTGGTGTGATCGGTTCAACTGGCGGGAAACTGTGATGATTTTTTTAATTAAATTTGCAGAAAAGTTACGATGATTGAATGAAAATGAAAGATCGTGCAGGTTGAATCTGCGTTACCTCAGTTTTTTTTTTTAAGGCAATCAGTTTCTGCCTCAGTTTTTCAAACTACAGTCAGCTTGTCCGGGTTAGCGGTGTGTGTGGACACGGCCTGAGGCAGGAGGAGCGCCAGAAGTCTTTCTTCCTGTTGGCATTTCGAAGGGTCAGCGGGCCAGAGGACGGCACAGACGCCAGACTGAAGTAAATGTCAGAGGATTACCATCATCATCATCCTCTACAGCGACTCTCTCTGATGGTGAAGAGAGCCACCGGTCAGGCAAAGGTTGAATTAAAGTTCAGATCTATTAGAGGCCATGTGACGGGCTCATTGATTGGCAGTGGGTGTAAACGCTTCCTCTACTGCAGTGAATGTCAGAGAGCCACGGGTCAGTGGGGTCTTTAGGACTGTCAGCTATAATATTATTTATTTAATTTTTTTTTTTATAAAGGATTTAATAATTCATGAATAAATAATATAATTTGCTGCTTTTCCTATTAGCTAATTCGTTAGCTTCATCATTTAGCTTCTCCTGTTAGCCTGGTTAGGTGTCCAACCAATCAGAGAGCTTGTAACATCCCACGGCCAATTGGGATGGTTTAGCCTGTTTATTCATGAATTTATAAATGGTTTATTTAATGTAATGAGTGTTTTAAGCTGATTTTGTGAATCCATTTTTAAATCTTAAGGATTTATTGATGGATTAATTCCTGTTTTTAATCCTATTAAAATATCAAATTAAGGAAATGCTTTATTGCTTTTCCTGTGACATAGGTTAAAACATTCCTAACACTGAAGACAGTTGTACTTTATATTCATGTTTTACCTGCAGCTGTGAGATGGTGAGAGGGTAGCGGTACAAGATCCAGGTCACGTTTTCACTGCAAGGCGGGGTGGTCAGAGATCCTTCATATACCCAGTAGTCTCTCAGTAACGGGTCTAAGGGAAGATTAAACATTTCATTTAAAGACATGTATTTTCTTTTACGTCTCTGTAATCAAATGGTTTTTCTACTCACCAGGTAACAGAGTGTTGGGGTTGAAGCACGGGATTAATTTACTCTTCCCCTGAAGGAAATACAGCAACACAACAATAATTATTGTCCAGTTTAACGTCTGATGTTGATCTTCATCATGATGTAATCGTGGTCTCACCTTGTACTGTAGGTCCTGCAGAACTTCAGTGATGGCCTTCAGACCCAGATGCTCCTTACCAATCTGGTAAAATCACATGATTTTGAGATGGTGGTCAGAGGAGTCATCAGTGTATCTGATTAACGCCGGCCTCACGCCAAACGACTTTTCACAGATAAATATCCATCTCATCCTGATCGTTTGGTGTCAGGTGATCATCCGAGCCGTCTTCAGCCGTTCCAATAAAATCACACATGTTGAATATTATCATAAGTTTTTAGTCTTGGCTCACGCAAATAGTGACACTGTCGACTTCTCCAGCATCAAACAGGAAGCAGCAAACTGAGCTGATAGTGAGCGTGGAGGCGACTCCTGGGAGGTGCAAGAATCTGAGTCGTTTGGTGTGAGGCCGTCAGTAAATCAAGGGTTAACTGGATTCAGGGAAATTCATTTCAAAATAAAACCGGAAATCATAAATACAAAGTCCTGACACAGTGATTTCATTGGCAAATTATGACAATTACAATGTTATGTGACTGGATATGATGGGAAATAATCTCAGAGGAATGTGGTCATGCAAATCATGACCGTGCAAAATCCCCAGTCTCAGATGTGAGAGGGTATCAGACTTCTAGTGTCTTGTAGTGTGTGGTCGGCATAAGACAATGTTATCAGTGAGAGTCTTGAGGAAGTCAGCGGATCTTTGTTTATATCTCTTGTATCCTTACAGGACATAAACAGGAAGTCAAAACTGAAGAGGCCGTCAAATACAGGACGTGTGAGCTTGACGTGTTAAGACTGAGGTTCAGGAGGTGTTGAGGTAAAAGCCACTGTTGTTTCGTTGGGTGTGCTTTTCCTCAGCTGCCATGACTCAGACCTCTCTCTCAGAGGTTTTCTCTTTTCATTTGATTTGATTCACTCAATGGACATAAATCACTTTTAAAAGTTTTCCTGACGGGAAGCATGTGAGGGTCATTTTTCTAGGTGAGTCGTAATACAGAGGAATCAGGGAATTTCACAGGGTGGTTCAAGTTAATCTGGAATGAACCTGTTCACTCATTTAGAATAACAACTCTTACAACCCCCGCGAAGGAAAACACTTTAAGGCCACTGAAGGTTAATGTTGTTATTAATGTCGGCCGTGAAGGGGAAAACTACGGAAGCCGAGAAAGGCCATACTCACAAATATTTTTTTATCCCGTTATCTCGAGACAATGGGATAATTATTCTGTTAACTCGAGATAATGTCAACAAGATAATTATTCAATTATCTCGGGATAAAAGGGCTTTGTTTTCTCAAGATAACGGGATAATTATTCTAATTATAATGGCGTTATCATGAGATAATGGAGCTTTGTCATGTTGAAATAACAAGATAATTATTTTAGTCAGTTATTTGTCCCGAGATAATGGAGATCTGTTGGTTTTCTCAACGTAACAAATCTCATCAGGCCAACCATAAAACCCAGGGAACCATGATGGGAATAAGTCCTCCATGGGTCCCTTCATGAAGCCTGGATGTTTACCTGCACAAAAAGAGCTATGATGAGGACTCCGTTCTTCTTTGCCAGAGCGTCCTCCAAAGTGTTGAACAGGGTGCTGTTCCAGTGAATCAGATGAAGCTACGAAGAGAGACAACAGGACACAACTTATATTTGAGAGGCCATTGTTGTGAGCAGGTGGAGGGAACAGCAGTAGGTAAGAGTGTGAGGAACCAGCAGCTGGTGGCGACTGAAGCTTTCTGTATGGGCTCTTATGTCAGGTTAAAGTGAACGGAGAGAGAGAAGAGGGGGAAACCTCCCCCCAGATCAGACCAGACCACAGATCTGTACTCTGTCGTGGTATTTACAGCGTCTTACTGTCATATAGAAACTGTGGAAGTGGAATTATCTCTGAGCCGTTATCTTCCCACTCGACATTGATTTTGAGATTTGCAAATCTCTAAAATCTAATGTGTCTAATTAATTCAGGTTACATCCCTGTTTATCCAGTCGTGTAAAATAGTAACCATTTGTGTCTTTTTCCTGAGGTCACCACGCCCTTGACCTTTGACCTTTGGCCACCAAAATCTAATCAGTTCATCCTTGAGTCCTGGTGAATGTTTGTGCCAAATTTGAAGAAGTTCCTTTGAGGCGTTACGTAGATAATACGTCCACAAAGCCAAAAACCACGTTTTGTGTGGTCACCGCTCCGTCCCATTCTCGTGGACACGATATCTCAGTAACGCCTTGGAGGAACTGGCACAAACATTCACACAGACTTCACACAGCAATTATGACACAATTTCACACAAATGGTTAATATCTTATATGACTCAGGATAAACAGGGGTGTAATGTGAAACTAGTCTGAGTGGCTGAGGGATACAACCTAATTGCTTCTGTGTTTGGTGGTTAATTGTGTTTTTTATGTACTTTGGTGTGATTGTTTTTTTCTGGATGTTGAGTCATCTTTCTTGGCAGCCAGGTCGTTTGCCGAGACACCGTCCCCGTCTCTGGGACATGGAGTACGGGTGGTGCTGCAGCCCCACGATGGAGTAGGTGCTGTTGGCGGTATGAGAACAGGTGGGGCACGGAAACAGCTCGCATGCCTCTGGGCTGTGAGGACGCCAAGCTGAAGCATGTTCAGTCACTGCAGAGACAAGTGTTGGGTTCGAATACTGGATGTCTCTCTCTCTCTCTGTGTGTTAGGGATGAGGAGGTGTACGCCAACTCCGGGAGCATGAAGTGTTTTGAATGTGGATCACTTTTGCCCCTAGACATCATGCAGCAGGGTCTACTGTGAGGAGGGGAGTAACGGGCAGCGTAATGGAGTTGGAGCGTGAAGGGCTTTCTAAAATATTGAACGAAAAATGAAGTGGCATTGATCAAGGGGAGCGTATTTTTCTGGTTGGAGACTGTAACTGTTGGACTGATGTTACTCTAGACCGGACTGGAGAGGAGCCACACCTTCAGTCATCCTCTGCTTTGTCTCATGTTTTAAAGGAAACTGATGTGGTCGATGTGTGGAGGGATGAAACATCTGTCAGCTGCAGCCCGATTTCATTTATCTGGTTCTTTTACTGCTTGAGTTGTTAACTGTTGGATTCTCACTGTTGCTTTTACAGACCGTCATTTAGTTTCAATAGAGCTGCTTCTATCCTTCGCTGGAAAACCAAAATCATTTTGGCATTTTAACGTTTAATTATTACTTGATCTTAACTTTTGTGAGAATTTTTTATTGTTTTGGACTGTAATCAGTCTGTATTCAGTTTGTACAAATGAATATTTGTACCAAATTTCAAGAAGTTCCTTCAAGGTGTTAGGGAGATATCACGTTCACAAGGCCAAGACCGTGTTTTGTGAGCTTGCCACACCCATGACCTTTGACCTTTGACCCCCAAAATCTAATCAGTCCATCCTTGAGTCCTGGTGAATGTTTGTGCCAAATTTGAAGAAGTTCCATCAAGGCGTTACTGAGATATCCACAAGAATGAGACGGATGGACAGCCTGAAAACAATATGGCCGCCGCTCTAACTGTCGCTGGCGCGGAGGAATAAAAACAATAATTTAGTGTTGCATGGAGAATTCAGTCGGTTCTACGTCTTTTATGTTTGAACTTTGGACAGAGCCTGTTTCAGCTTGGACTAAATAAACAGACATGAAAGTGGCATCAAACTTCTCATATGAATTTTATAAGAAACAGTTGAACTGCTGTATTTCTTTAAGAACAGCTGGAGAAAGTTTCACATGAATTAAACCTCGATCAGTCCTTCTTTCAGGTGGAAACAGACTGTCACAACACAACCTGTGAAATTGTATTTTTTTTTAGCCTCACTAAACGTCTCCTGATGGTGAAAGTGTTTTGTGTTCAAGGACTCAACCAGCTGTGATGTTACAGTTGCTGAAGGTCGACCGACAACGCCAGAAGTTTTAAAATGTGTACACTGTATTTCTTTAGTCTAGTAGAGGCTGCAGGTCATGGCCTTATCTGTGTGTGTGTGTGTGTGTGTGTGTGTGTACTGTATACCTCCATGGGGAAAGCCTTGAAGTTGACAGTGTGCTCTGATCCTCTCTGGTTCTCTTTGCCCCAGTGGAATCGAACCTCATGAAGTTCATACTCGTGATCGCTAGGCAAAGGACCCCCGGTAACCACTGGCAACAGCGCAGGAAAGGCGTGGCATTGTGGGGAAGCAAAAACACAGGAAGCAGAGGACAGATCAAAGAAGTCGTGGTAAAAATGAAAGTGAGATAAAGGGATCATTTAGATGGATTTGACTAAACCTCAGTGACTAACAACTTGTTGTCATGTCTCCTGGGAGTTACCTGACTTGGACTTGAGAATGATGCGGACAGTGTGTCCATCGTTGATGACCTCACAGTCTCGACACACCACGTAGTTTGGTGATAAACCGACGTCTAGGAGGGACGGGTCGTACTGGGCCTCCCTGGAGTTTAGGTTAATTGGAGACTGGTACTCGCCATTGGCTGCTGGGAAATGGAGTCCCCACTCTACACCTATGGGTAGAAACAGGCAAAAGCACACACACACACACACACACACACACACACACAAAACACACATTACATATGTTGTACATGTCTATGTCTTTATTGAGCGGCTCTACACTATATACAATATAGTGTGCAGATACTTCAATTACAGTAAGTACATTCCACTACTCAGGGTTCGAATAAAGGGGGGGGGGGGCAACTAAGACGTTGACCCCCCCAAAAGGAGGTAAAAACAACAGTCCGGGAGGGGGTTGCAACATCTAAATATTTTTTTTTACCTGTAATTAATGCTATTACGATATATTTCCCGTATTCATGCTTGGAAGAATCCTGTGATACGATTGCAGACACCCCTAAATTGGACCGTTCCATTTCCTAACCCTGACGTCAGTGGCTCGCGTTGCGTCTGTGCCCCCGCGCGACAGTGACGGTGAATGTAAGTGTCAGTATCAAACTACCCAGTTGGTATAATACACTTTACGGTCTTACCTTCACAGTTTCTGAATTAGACTGTGTGAAGTATCTGTAGATGAACGCTGACGTTAACTTGTTTCTAACTTTAGCCTCAAGTTACAGTTTAGCTAACTAACGCTAGCTAGCTTATAGCGCCCGTTCATTTCTAATGTTAGCTTGTTATTTCATTAGCCGTATCTAATGTTAGCAAACACTGATGATCTGAGAGAAATTGTGACATCAATTAAGTTAATGTGTATTCCTGCCCTCCTTCTCAGGTTAACCTTTGTATATATTGGTATATATATACACATTAACTTAATTGATGTCAAAACTCATCTCACAGCACCAGTGTTTGCTAACATTAGATACTGCTAATGAAATGACATATATATATATATACTGTTCCTTTTGTCTCAGTAGTTAGTCACATGTTTTGTTCTGTCTTAACTTGTTTGTTTTGTTTGTTTCTTAAGTTAAAAATCTGTGGTTTTGAAATGATTTTTGGTCTACTTTTTCTGCATTTTCAGTCGTGCACTGTCTAACAAACTTTCAACAAGCTATATAGGTTTGTCTAATCTAAGTGAGACAGTAAAACTGAAAACTTTAACCTGGATGAAAATCTGTATTTAAGATTCATTAAACGTTAAAGTTCATTCCTGAACTGAAAAACCTGAAGAAGTAATTTAACATGATGAAGACCATGGAACCTCTGGAGAAAGCTATGAAGTGAACTTTAAGTTGTTTTTGTTTAAACAGTCAGTGAGTGCTTTAACTGTAACCTTGTTCTTTCCCCCAGTATTTGTTCCTCTAAAGGAACACATTTATATCGAGGCCAGTTCCTGTGTGTGTGTGTGTGTGTGTGTTTGTATTTAGATCATTCTGTCTAAAGTCTAGACTGAATTGGCCTTTTTAGTCCCTCTGCCCCTCCATTCATCCCCTATCTGCTTCCTCTCAGTCTGCAGTGCGTGAACAGGATTTCTTGCTGTGATTGTGAAAATGAATTTCAGAGACAGGAAGAGAAAGAATTATTGTATATGTATTTGTAAGAGACTAGTATCTTTAGTTTTGAAGTGGCTGAAAGCTGTTTCTAAGGTTTACAATGGCACAGTGCAGTGAAAGTGATACTAAAGGGTACACACTGTTCTAGATTCATTTCAGCTTTTTTCTGACCACAGTCACAGTGTGTTTGTAGGGCTGTGGGACTGGTTTACGTTGCTAAATCATATATTTATACTGACTATAGGGTTGACTGACACTGATTATGGTCAGTTAATGTGTTTGCCACCACACTGTTATGACTTCATCATAAAGAAAAACACAATTTAATTCTGCATTTAGCAAATGAACTCACAGCTAGCCTTTTAGCTTGTCAAGCTGTTGAGACGTAGCCCCAAACCACACCTAGGTTAGCATGTGGTTCTTAATGTATTTTCCCTTATAGAGTTATTTTTGTTGCTCTTTTTGAAAAGCTGAAACATGATTCTGGAGTTTCCTGTAAATATCCTGCTACTGTCATTTTTAACCAAGATACAACTCTTTGTGAAACCGGCCCCAGGTCTTCGTTTTACTCACCGATCAGTCTAATGTTCGTCAAACTGTTTCACAAAAATAAAGACTGACTCATTTTAAGCCAAAAACATTAGACACCTTTTCCCCAGGATAACTCAGGTCTGAGACCAATGTTACCATGGTAACAGTCATTGACACCCCCATGCTCGCCAGTAGCACCCAACAACAAAAAACAGGAAAACATGGCTCATAACTATAGAGTTGTTAGAGACCAAAATCTTCTTTTTATTGTTTCACTCTTTCTTGAATTGTTTTGTTTTAATTTACCCAGAATTCATTGTACCACAGTTCGACTTAAGATGGTCAAGATCTAAACTGCTTCTATTTCTCTTCTCTTCTCTCTTTCCCTGCTCCTCACCTGTGGAACGAGCTTCCTGAACACCTGAGATCTGCTGAAACTGTCAGCTCATTTCAATCAGGCCTTAAAACTGCTCACTAATAAATCACATACATAACTTCTAACATCTTTTTATTCTTGTGCATTTGCTTGTTGTTGATGTCTTTTATCACGACAGCACCTCTTTTAAAACGGTAAATCCTACTTTAATGTCATCTTTTCTTTGTCTCATTGTTTATTATTTATTATTATTACTATTTACTGTATTATATTTGTCTATCTATCTATATCTAACTAATGTTCTATTTTTTATGTATTTCGATACCTCTGGAAAGCGCTTGCCTTGTGTCTGAATGCTGCTGTATAAATAAACTCGCCTTGATACTGACTGATAGTTCACAGTGAGTTTGTATTAGAGCTGGTCCTTGCAGTGCCAGCACACTTTTTTTTTTTGGTAGGTGCAGAGAACCGAAACAATGAACTGAGAGCAGCAGAAAGCAACTGAAAGCTGTTTAAACTTGCAGCACAGGTTCGATTCTCAGTCATCAGACTATCCTCTCACAGCTGGTTCATTCATTTAATATAAACACTTCTTTATGTGTCTTTAAATTGAGTTGAACAAATGTGTATTTCTTTCAGGCAGGTGTGATGTATAGTAAATGTAATATGGAAAACATCAAGTAACAAGTAAAATGACACTATAATTGCAGGGATAACATTTCTACATCTCTTTCATATAAATTTCCAAGTAATATATTGTGAAAATAAATGAGCTGGATTCTTGTTTAGAAAAAGGCAGCAATGCAATCCTTGATTAAAGTGACTTTAATGTACGTACGTCATGTTTTCTTAAATCAGTGAAATATCAGGCAGATTGAGGAAAACTCTGAATCACTCAAATCAAATCAAATCAGATTGCACTGACTGACAACCTCTCCGTCGCTCCGCTCGTGGTCACGTCAAACCCGTGGACTGTTGCCTTGTCTGTCTGTTTTTCATTCATTTTTCATTTAAATAAAAAGGGCAACAGTGACCTGCTGCTTGCCAAATAGTGAGCCCACATTTCTCTGTACTGTTCAGCCTCGTATCTCATTGTTTTCTCCATCATCAGCGTTTGTACCTGCTGCTTCTTCTGTCTGTTCAGTCACTAGCAATGAACCACCGTCAGCATCTTAACAGTCAAAAAGATTCATCTGGCAGATCAAAATATCATATCAAATGACCAGATTCATGCCTTATTGTAAAGTATGAAACACATCATCATTTATTAATGAGTTACTATAAGGCTCCATTTACCAGTTATAAATAATATATGAATAATAGTAACTCATTAGTAAGATGAATGAATAGTAAGCATTAACTAGATCTTGCCAAATAGTGAGCATTCGTCAATGTATGAAAACCGTGTTGTAATTTGTTTATAATTCTTTATTTGTGATTCGTAAAGTGTTTAATATAAACCGTTTATAAATCCTTTATAAGGGCCGTCTTATTGTGAAGTGGCACCGGCACATCTGTCACTATTATTCCCTCAGCACATTCAGATTCAGAACCAGATGCAGATCACAGTAAATCATGGTGGAGCTGTGTCGTCTCGTAGCGCTTTAGTTGTGTTTAATAATAAGTATTTTTTATTACTGTGTCCTGTTTTTATTGTTACTTAACTGTTGCTTGTTGTTTCTCACATTGTAATCCACTAAAGTCTATTCTAATAAAGACCTCATCAACTTCTAGCACCACAAGTGTCCTGCAGAGAGACGTCACGATCTGTCCTGCAGCCGTGACAGAAGTAATCAATAAAAACATTTCGTTTTTTATTTATATTTAAAAATACTGAACATCTATATTTGCACGGTTTCCTCTGTTTAGCCTGTGTTTAGACACAAGGTCTCCACAGGACACCGGAGCCATACTTTAGTGTGTAATCTCTGCTTACAAACTGCCACACATCATTTAGTATACTTACAGTAAGAGTTACAGTTCAGTATCACAGTGCATCCTCAGTGCTCAGTAAAGGCAGCAATAAAAGGAAGACAGAGTGAGATAACACACATTAAACCAGCTTATCACATCACACATATCACATCATGTTTAAGGTAAACACAAGTTTCTTGTGTTTACCTTAAATATCTTGTTAATTAAAAAAAACTTTCTAAAAATGTTGAGATCATTATCTCGTTAATTCAGAAAAACGGAGCAGAATTTTTCTTTTTCCAGTGAATGCATTGCGCTTCTGTAAAGACCTGACATAACTGGCGCAGTTTAATAATCTTATGCTGCTTTTAAACACCTGTAAATGTCTTGGACAGTTGAAAAAGTATCAGGAACTATTGAATAAGGAAAATAAGGAGCTTTTCTTCCACGGTGAAACAATCAGCTCCAGGTGAATCTTCCCAGAATTCCCGGATGGCATCACATTCCTCCATCATCGTTTTCACGCACACAGACCGGCTCACTTGTCATGCAGAGTGTATTTATAAGGCGTAATGTTGTCTGTGCTGCTGGAGGAGTTCTGTCACGTCTGTGAAAAATAACCCTGATGATGTTAAAGCTTCTTGAACACGTCACCAACTGAAATCAAATTAACTTCAGATAGAAATTCTTTTACAGCAAAGGTGAAGTGCTAAAAGCAAACCAGAGCTGGACTCATTTATTACTCATTATCTATTGTTAATTGTCTTTATTGTCTCTTTTTAGACTGAACATCTGTATATTTTTAGCTAATTGTAGGATATTATCAGTTGTGTTTTATTACAATAATAAATATAATTACGTTATGCATGTAAAAGCCCAATTAGGGACCGGAGTCAAGAATTAACAACAGCTATAAACTCTTTATGCAACACATTAGGTTCATGCTTTGTTTTTTGAAACTATGATAAATTGCATTGTCCCTAAATAAAATAAAATAAACTATTAGTGTTATTTTCCCCCAGAAAGTCTGCGCTGTTTTGTGTTGCAGTAAACTGTGTCAGGGAAGCAAAACAACTCATGTCTTTTCTTTCACAGTGTAGCAACAGAAAACCAGCATCTATCGCATGTGTCAACACTGCAAACCTCCAGGGCCACACAGTAAATAAAAACCGCTCTAACGTGCATCCCCTCACACGCTGATGAAGACCTACGTACCTTCCTCGTAGCCCCAGTCCAGCTCATCCTTCCCCGGGTTATAATCCGACTCCTCATTCACGCTGTCGGCCATGGTGTTTGACAGTCTGCTCACTGTGGGTTGAAAACCAGTCTGTCCTCCCACTACACTCCCAGTCACACTGGTTTTGTCCATTCACTTGGACACAAAGCTGAAGTCTCTGCAGTCTGCTGGACGGATTCCCAGCCAAGAAACTACTTTGACTTTGCTCTTTGTCTTTTACTTTTTTTTCTCTCTCTCTCTCTTTTTCTCCCCGTTTCTTTCTTCTCTCGCTCTGTTTTCTTAACGTTATTCACTGCAGTGTGAAGCTCTCTGCCTCTCTCTTTTTCTTTTCTCTCAGTTGCTCCTCCTTCTCTCTCTCTCTCTCTCTCTCTCAGCTTTGCTCGGCTATTATCTCTCTCTCTCTTCCTCTCTGTCTTCCTCTCTTCTTCTCTCTCTCTCTCTCTGCAGGCTGCAGGTGTGCTTGCTCACAGTTTTTCTTTTTCCTTTTTCATGACTGAAAATAAACCTTTTAGGTGAATCAGCTTTAATCTTTCTCGGTTACAGTTTGTTATTTTCTGTTCAGTCTCTGCTGTTTTGGGTGCCGTTCCCTGTTGTGCGTGTGCAGGAATGCTGGCAGGAAGGTCATGCTGGTGTTTCTGTTGGAGGCCACACAGCCACCCTTGGGTTAAGGAAACAGCAGTGGTTGAGACAACAGGCAGAAAACAGCCTGAACGAACAGAGAGAAAGGCCGAGCTGTTCTCCAAACTTGATGACTTCAAGATGGACGGAGAAACTCTCCAACACTGGATGTTATTCACACATTTACAAAACACACTTGGCTCAGTGGTCAAACCCAAATGATTCTCCTCAGAGTTCTTGACTTTCCTCTGGGTTGAACTAGACGAGATGTATTTTGTTATTTGGGTTATTTGTGTGAAACGAAGAGGGACGAATGGTTCATAGTTCATGGTGTTCTTCCTCTCTCAGTTTCTTTCTTTGTTAATCCATATCCTCCAGGCAGCTGATGTTAATTGCCCTACATTCCTTATCAGGAAAAGCGTCCTCTGAGCCGTCTGAATTCAGGTGAACTCCCCTGTTTCCACACTGTGAAGCTGAAAGCAGAACATGGGCTGCAGTGATCCACATCTGAACACCTTGAAGGCTAACGCTCAAGTGACCATGTGCTATACGCTAAGGAATAGCCAATCAGAGACTGACCACGTCCAAGTCTGCACATTTTATTTAGTGCCGTCTTATTCTGTACACAGCGCATTCAGAAAGTCTTCAGACCCCTTTTTCACACTTTAATCTACACTCAATGTCCCGTAATGACAAAGTGAAAACAGAATTTCAGAAATTTTATTTTGCAAATGTATTAAAAAAAAGAAAAAAGTGGAATACCGCACCTACATACAGCAAGTGTTCAGACACTTGGCTATGACACCTGAAATGGAGCCGGTTCCACAGAAACGTCTCAGACCGGTCTGTGGCGTTGCTTCAGTCTAATGTCAGTCAGACTGTTTCACAAAAATAAAGACTGACTCATTTAAAGACAAACACACTAGACACCTTACCCTCAGGCTAATTTAGGCTTAAGACCAATGTTACCATGGTAACAATCAATGACACCCTTATTGACTAGTGGCACCCAACAACAAAAAACAAGAAAACGTGGCTCATAATTTGACCATGAGGAGGAAGGAAGTACCTGCACAGCTCAGAGACAGGACTGTGTCGAGGTGCGTGTGGTTTCGTTTTGCTTGTGTAATTACTGTGTTTCCATCACAAGACTAAGAGTCTATACAGTCATGCATTTTCAGCAGGTTTAATGTTTAACATATTCAGCATCTTAGCACTAAACACACAGTACAACTGAAGATGATGGGGAAGGCATTAGTTTTGCAGGTATTTAGTCATAAACCAAAGTATCGGCAGATACAAATATTGACCTGAGGAAGGTCCTGGATGAAGTTATAACAGTTTGTCCTGAGGGGAACATGAAGGACTGTACCTCATTTCAACCTGTCCAGTAGCTGTTGGACCGACCAACTCACTGATCCATTTATTTATATTCAGTGACGGCTGGGTCAGACGATTACACCAGATACTGATGATGTCTCCAGTTAAAGGTTTCCTGCAGTTGGTTTAGATGTTTGGCCCCGAGGACTGACAACCTTCACCAGCCTCTATAGCTGATGGATGGAGGATAGATGGATGAGATGTTTGATTATTTATGTACATATTATAAATATTTAATGTATAAAACAGATTGTTTATTAATTCATTATTAATTAATTAAGATTTAGTTACAACATTAAATGCATTTTATTTCTTCATCTACATGCACTACAGTCTGTAGTTTGGCACATGCAGCATGTGGTGTCATGAGTGGACCACACACACACACACACACACACACACACACACACACACACACACACACACACACACACACACACACACACACAATAACCTATCACTTATGTCACTTTGCTGCTCCCTACAGGAAACAATTACCTATTACAGCTAACTACACAATCAGCTACAACTGCACAACTACACACTACAGCAGGGGCGGAGCCAGACATTGTAAACATCTGGGGCTTCGTCCCGACTCAAGTCAATATTCAGGGCACATTTCCCCCATTCACAGCAGCTTCATGCCGTTTACTGTATCAAGACATTTGTACATCATTTGATGAAAAAAACCTCAAGCTTTTGTTAGCGTTACTTTTAAATGTCACCTTTTGTGTTTGTGCTTGAACAAACTTTAAGTAAATATAAATGTTTTTCAAGATTGTACTGTGAAGAGCTGCTTAAAATGTCCTTGTTTGCCCTGCAATGGAAAGTCATTTTATTTAATATAATTACATGTTTTCCATGTTTCACAAAGACACTGTGAAAGATGAAGTGCTTTTGTTAATATGTGCACAAATACAGAGCAGAAAACTGCATATAAAACTCAGCGCTCAAAGTTCCCACACAGCGTTTGACACTGCAGTTACAAGTACAAATGTTGACCATGTTTTTACACGTGAATCCGATTTGAGTCCAACTTTTTAAAATCTGTGTCAGGGTTCCTGTTAACAGTACCTGCAGTTGGAGCTGTGCGGCTACCTCCTTTGAAACTGACAGGAGCTTCCTGCATAACTCGCACCTGACTGAGTTAATAATGGTAAGTGTAATAAATTTTAGTTAAAAATGTTACTCAATACTCTTTTGTGAACAGCTGCCTTAAATGACCTGGTTTTCCCTGCAATGGAAAGTTTGTTTTATTTAGTATAATTATGTGTTTTCACAGGGATACCAGAACCCACCTCAGGCCAGCGCCACACCACAACAGAACCAGCAAGAAATGGTAAGTTATTGGCATGACTACACCTCATATCTGTATGGGCTCAAATTAGGGTCAAAAGAATTTGAACTTGTAAAGTGATGTTCACAAGTTATTCCAAATGTAGTTGTTGTCTGTTTACATTCATCTTGTAACTTACTGCCCTCTCGTGGCCGCAGCGGGCTGTTGTCTCCTGAGTCACAGACTGAATCACAGGAAAAGTTTTTGCAAGCATTACCTTATATGTCTTAATCGCTTTTCTCTTTGTACTTGTGGATATGATGTGTGTACGTTTTTTTATATTTCTATGATTAAAGAAGGAAAGAGGTTTATTGTTCGAGAATTTACTCATTTAAAAATAACAAGATTTATCAATTTTTTTTTTGTCTCCTTGAAGTATCATATCAAAAGTTTGATCGCACCGTGTCACTGCGGTGGGCGCGGCGTGTCCGGTGAGCAGGACCGGGCTTGTTTGGAAACGGACCTTTTGCATTAGAAAATTACTTCAACCCGCGAGCAAAGAATCGATTTCTTCTCCCAGATCGGCAAGTTTGTCACATCAGTCACTTTGCTCATCATGTGTAACGGCGTTAGACTGGCCGCTGCAGCAGCTTCTTTAGTGGCTCGTTTCTGCAAAGAAAAGTTTCCACAGTGCAGCCGGGGATCAGTGTCACACCGGGGTGAATGTTTATGATCATGTTGAGCAGCACAGAGGTGAGTTTCCTCCGACACTAAAACGCACATTTCATATATATTTAGGTTACTTTCGGTTTTAAGGAACAGACATTTCCTCCGCCAGGAAACTGTTTAGACGGGAAGCGGGAGGAGGGGTGGTGGTAGGGGGGGTGTTTTCTCCTGCTTCTCTTGTCTAAAAGTGACCGCAGGTCTCTGGTTCACACTGTGTTTATACTGTGTTTAAAATGAGATGATTGATGTCTGCTGTGTGAACACAATGGGGGGGGGGGGGGTCTTTGAGAGCGGCAAGAAGGCAGTTTAATTACATTCAAAAAAGAAAGCATGCAGGCTCCCTTCACAAGAGGTGGAGTTTGGACCTGACCTGTCTTGTGAGGTCACAGTTATCCGGAGCTCAGGTGTAATGCACTTGGGAACCTGTCCAGACTGCCCAGCTGTGCTGAACTTTGACCCCCCCCCCCCAGGGAGAGATAACGGCTCTGTCTGTCAGAGGTGGCTCTCACCAGGCAGCCTGTCGTCTGACATCTCTCTCTCTCTCAACAGGAAGCGAAGCGGACGTGATAAGAGTCGGTCAGCTGTCTGATACTTTCACTTGTTGGGAGCGGAGCCGTCCCGGACAGTGCTTCGGACCTCTAATCCGGACCTTCAAAACCAACGAGAATCTCCAGAAGATCTTCGCAGAAAACTCTGGACAGAAGCAGCATGTTGAGTAAAGACCTTCCAGACATTGAGGTAAACTACTGTGTCTCTTTTACCTCCTTTCTCAGCAGCTTCCTTTATTTTCTGTTCGTTAACACACCATGAATCCCAATGTCAAGTTGTTATGAGGTAAATCACCTTTTGTTTTGGGTGTTTTTCGCCTCCTTATTCATTCTGTAATATTGACGGGACATAATGATTTTGAATTACAACACTTCATTGATCATATTGATGGTTATTGATCATTGACTAAAGTTCACGGTCAGTGTCCTTTAATAATTACCACAATCTGTGAAACTGCCACCAGTCCAGCTCCGGCTCAGTAGCCCCCTTGTGAAGCCCCAGATTAGTGTCCTGTCCTGTACGCCTGCATGCTTTCTTATATAACAGACTCTATATGACACAAAAAACCCCTGCCACCGGACATGATCGTACAGGGTTCACGAGCACAATCTCCATCTGTTTATGGGCTCGTGAACCCTGTACGATCATGTTCAGTGGCAGGGGTTTTTGTGTCATATAGAGTCTGTTATATTTCTGTAAAATCCTCTTGGCACTTGTGAAACTCCTCGGAGGACTTGTAGAGGTTATTTGAATTTTCAGATCAAGTGCAAAGAGGAATTTGTTTAGTTTAGTGTGGGGATTAGTCTCCACCACGACGGACAGGACACTAATCTGGGGCTTCACAAGGGGGCTACTGAGCCGGAGCTGGACTGGTGGCAGTTTCACAGCAGAAAAGTTTAAATATTCTCCACCTGTGATCACGTGACGGTAAAAATAAAGAAATAAAAGCAGCTTCACCTATAGAAACGTAAGAGACTTTGAATGACTTGCAGAAACACTGAGCTGGGATCAGCAGGGACCGGAGGGAGAGACAGGATTCAAAAGAGGATTTTGAGGATTAACATTTTAAAGGGGCGTCCCACTAAAATTTACGCATGAAGGTCACTCATTAGTTTCCTCGTCACGAGGAGAAACCACTCAGCCTGTGAAACACTTACATCCTCAGGGTTACAAAGAAGTGGACATTTAAGAAGACACTGTTGAGTTGCATTATGGGACATAACACATGTGAGGAATCCTGACTGTTAGTGCAGTGTTTTTAGAATAGGAGTCAGGATATATCAGCTGTATGTTACCTTGATCTTAACCCTTGTCTTTTAATGAAATGTGTCTCTTGTGTTTCCTGATTTTATGGAAGTGAAATATGAAAATCACTGCAGAACCACTTAAGCACATTAATGAAGGAAATACTGGATAGCTCAATGTTAAAGAAGTCTGCACAGACTGAGCACACTGATGGAATGCGTTATATAGAAAAATAATATAAAGAGACAAAAGAGGCAGAAACTCTCACTTGAATAACGAACAATCACTTCCTGCTAAACCGACACCAGCAAGAGCGTTATTCTTCTTTTTATGTAGAGGAGAAAAGCAAATCCAACAGAACAAAATCCATGTTTTTTTTGTCCATTTCCAAACCCTCACCCAACAAAAATAAAAATAATAATTATAATGATATTAATAATTAAATAATTAATGATAAATAAATGAAAATAAGTGAGTAGCTAACAGGATACCCATAAAAATAACCCTGTTCAGTTCTTTCCAGATCAATATACTTCAGAAAGAGTAACGGCTCTGCGCTAACAGTCCAAAGTGTAGTTCTCTAAGTACTCTAAATTAATCATGGATTAAACATGCAATAAACCAATCAGAGTGCCGTCTCCCATTCCCTTTAACAGTCAGGCGCACTTGCCCCTCTGTGGATTGTGGCTTGCTGTTATTAAGGCACAAATCACAGCGTTAGACGTCTTTCAATCAGTTCCCACAATGATTTACACGAACAGACTGAACCTACAGTCACTGATCAGTAACTACATGAAGACTTTAAGTTTATGTTCTGCTCCTTTTGTTGCAAACTCACTTTGTTAATCACATTCAGGTGCTTAGATTTCAGCAGTAAAATATAAGTGACAGCGGCTTTAAAGGCCACGCTCCTGGACTACACTGCACTTGGGGACAGACAAGAGTTGCATGCTGGTCTGCCACTAACATGCAGCAGCAAAGTGAGGAGTAACAGGATAAAATGTCATGTTTTTACTACAGTCTTATGGTGTTGTGCAACAAGCCGTGTGTTATGGAGCTGTAGATAAGTGATGTATGGTCAGAGGGGAAAGGGGTTGGCACGTGTCGCGATGGGGCAATAGTTTCGACAGATGTCATAAAAAATCTGTAGGTTTAAACACTGAGATTCAAAACGTATGAAAAGGTAATGTAATAACCGGAGGAAATATTAAACCACCTTTCTAAATGACATACAGTAAATTATTGCTTCATTTCCGCTGTTATACATCAACATGTCAGGTCACATAACCTCAGTGCACTGACCCTGCAGCTCATCATTATCTTATCATCTTACCCCCAACCATCCAAACAAGCAAACGTCCCACAATGTTCCATAGATCCAGTGTTTGTCCAGCGGATCTCTATCTGCCAGAAAGTCAGATAACAGCAGCAGCTCACATGGAAAACAACATCACGACTCCAGCTGTGATGCACAGATCTAAAAACCTTTGGTTAGAGCGGAGATGTCATCTGTAAAACTGCACACACCTTGATGTAACTTAACGTCAGTAATTGTGAAGACGGGGCACATCCTGTTACCTAGCCATCCTTAACTTTGACAGTTATGATGATTTATTTGGTCATGATAAGAAAATGGCTTTAATGTCCTGAGATAAAGAAATTATTAACTAACGATCGGGTGATAACGGGATATAAACCATGGCTTCCATAAGAACAGGTCACTAAAAACGTTTCTGTGAGGACAGAAAACAACTGTATTTGTGTCTGTCAGAGACTCAGAATCAGGAGTTGTGTCTGTTCTTACTGACGTGTTGATGTGTTTGTCTGCAGAGCATCCTGGCTCTGAACCCCAGGGTGAAAACTCATGCTCAGATCATGTCCACCGCCAACAAGAAGGAAGAAAAGAAACACTGGAAAAGAAACCCTGAAAGGAGCTGTGATGTGAGATATACTGCACATACAGGTTCATTGTCTTCCTTGACATTATTCTTCATTACTGTCTTCATCCTTCTTTTTCCCCCCCGACTCTTCTTTCTTTCAGTCCTCTGTGAAGTTAGAGAACAACTTTGACGACATCAAACACACAACGCTGAGCGAGCGTGGAGCTCTGCGAGAAGCGATGAGGTGAATGAATGAATGATGCAAATGACTCCTAACAATCTCACTATCGGACAAACTCAGTCACTTACAATGAGCAGGCTGAAGAGTCGCCTCAAGGACAGTGGTGCAGGGACGACATGTTATTTTAGGTCGACCCAGATGTTAGCGTCACCCTGGTTCCCTCCACAAAAAGCCTCTGGGATTTTTACATTCACTTTGGGATTATTACAGAGAATAAACTCTGCAGAGAATAAAATAGTGACTGTTCAACAGGATCCTCTTCTCTAATAAACACCACGTTATGATGTTTGAAGCCTCAGTACAATCAGCAGAAATAAGAAGCTAACGCTAGGCTATAAACCAACGACACCACGGTCACATGACTTCAACGTCTCCACCACTAAACTTCAGCCTTGTAGTCTGGTTTATGTCTGACCTCTTCTACAGAAGCTTTTCCTCTGACACAGTGACAGTTTGTACAAACACAACGAGGCTGTGAAGGCGGACTGGTTCATCCAGCCCCATCGTCAGGCCAAAACTTCAATTATTATTATGGTGATTTCTATCAATAAAAGTCTGGCAGACAGAAAATTTACCACCTTTTTTTCTGATTTGAAGTATTTTTTTATTTTATTTTATTTTTAATGTCAATAACTTGGTGAAACTGTCAAATAAAAGTGACATCTGTGTCCAGGTGTCTAAAATGTGCAGATGCTCCCTGTCAGAAGAGCTGCCCGACCAACCTGGACATCAAGTCATTCATCACAAGCATCTCTAATAAGGTACTAGAAAACACACGCAGTCAATACATCTATCCATCTGTCTATGATGAGAACTAACTCAAAGAAGAAGGAATAACAATGACAATGCTAATCATGGTAGGTAACACAATACTAAAGTCGTGTGTGTGTGTGTGTGTGTGCGTTTACCAGAACTACTATGGGGCAGCGCGGGCCATCCTGTCCGACAACCCCCTGGGTTTGACCTGCGGGATGGTTTGTCCCACATCAGATCTGTGTGTCGGCGGCTGCAACCTGTACGCCTCCGAGGAAGGACCCATCAACATCGGAGGCTTACAGCAGTTTGCTGTGGAGGTAGGACACGTGTAGCTGTCAACTTGTCTTCATTAAACATGTTACTGACACTTTCCAGAATTTACTTTGAAAGAAACAGAACTGTGGAAGTTTGTAAACGCCAGTAGCTCACAGGAAGTGTGCAGTAATGCAGGTAATACAGCAGCACATGAAACCAGAACTTAAATGACATAAATACTTATTATTATAATTATTATTATGTTGTATGGTCACAATGTCTTTTACCGCTCCTCAAGTCAATACACAGGGAGTTTTGCTCCTGCAACATTACTTGGCCTGGCCTGATATGACCTCTAGCATACGGAGGCTAATGTTATCTAACGTTAGCAGACTTTCGATAGATGATTAACCATCATCTTGTACTTGCTCGTTGTGGCCACTGTTCATCCAAGTGTTACACAGCCTCACTGTGAAGTCGGCCATGTTGTGTTGACAGTTATAATTTGAATGCAGTTTATTTAAAGGTTTGACAAGGTTGTTGTTTTTTGTTCTCAGGTGTTTAGTAAGATGGGCATCGCTCAGATCAGGAATCCTGAACTCCCACCATCCAGTGAGATGCCAGAGTCTTACCACACCCCGATCGCTCTGATTGGCTGTGGCCCAGCGTCGGTCAGCTGTGCTTCCTTTCTGGCTCGTCTGGGATACGATAATATTACCGTATTCGAGAGACAGAAGTACATTGGAGGGCTGAGGTAACGTGTCACCACATTCATACTAAATATCTTATTATATTATATTTTACACATGATTCTACAAAGCAGGGGTTCAGATACAGCAACTTAAACACGGGGTCATCTGGGAATCGGTCGGTGTTAATGAAGGTGACGAGGACCGAATGCAGGTCTGTTTGAAAATGATCAAACGGAGAGACAGGAGAGGCAGACTGGAGAAGATGAAGAGGGCGACTCCTGAAACCTCGCTGCAGAAAAACCCAGACGACAAGAGGAGAGACGTGTGGCGAAGGAAACATTCAAAAATATCTGTTCTTCCTCGCAGCACATCAGAAATCCCCCAGTTCCGTCTTCCCTATGAGGTTGTCCAGTTTGAAATAGACCTGATGAAGGATCTGGGAGTCAAGGTACCAACTGCAGTTTCCCATATTGTTCTGATGTGCTGTGAAATATATGATGCAGTAATTGTTATTAAGTTCTCTGTTGGTTTTTAGACTTTTTTTGCTTATTAATCTCCATAATGTCCTCAGCAAATAAAGGAAAACAACAAATGACTTGTCGGCACATTCGATAGAAAAATCTCCAATATTATGACGATCTTCAATATTATTTACAACATTTTAAATTTTGTGATCAAAAGAAAGAAAATCAAAACTGTTATAATATAATCACAGTTTTGATTTATGAAACACTCGGTACTTTAGTTTTAAGTAGGACAGTGTGACTGTATGAAGAGCACCCTCACAGTTCTGTTAAAGTGTGTGTGTGTGTGTCTGTGTGTGTGTGTCTGTGTGTGTGCGTGTGTGTGTGTACAGGTGGTGTGTGAGAAGGGTCTCGGTGTTAATGGAATGACTCTGACGTCCCTGAGAGAGGAAGGATTTAAGGCCGTCTTTATTGGGATTGGTGAGTGTAGTTAAACTTGTTATTTAATACAGACTCACAAACCAGAGCGTGGCTGCAGTCGAGAAATCTTTCTTTTTCTTATAAAGGTTCAAACTGAGTGAAATGACCCGGAAGTATCTGAGCGGCGGCCATTATCAGAGCTGCTCCACTTCTCTAAATGATGAGGAAGGGAGCTTCAGTGCTTCCTGTCTCCTTCAGCTTAGGAAACACTGGAGCTTCCTTTACCAAAGGAAAGGAGAAAATACCGCCCCACAATTCCTTGGTGCAGCAACATTTAAATTTGGCACAAACCTTCACGTGGACTCAAGCATGAACTGATTAGACTTTGTTGGTCAAAGGTCAAAGGTCAAGGTCACGGTGACCTCACAAATCATAGTTTTGGCGTTGTGAATGCGATAGCTCCGTGACGCCTTGAGGAAATTTCTTCAAATTTGGTGCAAACGTTCACTGGGACTCAGGGACGAACTGATTCGATTTTGGTGGTCAAAGGTTAAAGGTCAAGGTCAGTGTGACCTCACAAAACACTTTTTAGCCATAACTCAAGACTTCACACAGCAATTATGACAATATTTCACACCAATGGTTCATTTCCTCTCCTACTCTGGATGATCAGGGACGTAACCTGAAACTAGTCTGAGTGGCGGAGGGATACGACCATGAGGAGGTGGCTCTAGTTTTCATTATTATTTCACTGGCTCAACTTTCGCTACGTGTATATTCCCTTCATATTATCTTATTTCAACATTTCAATCCTCTAACTTTTTGTTAGTGGTTAAGAAAAGAGGATTTATCGTTTAAAAAAAGAAAAAGTGCAGTTGGATTCTTCTCCTAAGTCCTTATGAAGTCTCCTTCACATGTTTCCTTGAGCTCATGATGTTTCCCCTCCGGTCGAGGAGACGGGGTCAGAGAGGAGATTTTTCTCCGACCGCAGCCCACGTCTGTCTGAGTTTGACATGAGCAGCTGACCCTTCACAGAGTCCGTGTTAAGCTGAGGGCAACTTCCTCTTATCTCAGTCTCGCTCTAAAGGTTTCTTGCCAACAGTTATCCTAACTGTCATGCATTTCCCTGCATGTATAAGAAAAACAACTCCATATACGGTGTGAACAAGAACAGCATTTCACAACTCTGTGAATCACAGCATTTTAACTGCTGATCATATGTTTCCACCACAGTTTCACACTTTCAGCAAATGTTTAAAATACAACATATATGTACGTCAATATGGATCAATTAAAGTAGCACACAAACTTAATAAATTAATAAATGCATGTAAATAATATACAGCTAAAACTCATCAGACTCAAACATCAGTATCATTTTCCCCATGGTTGTGTGTGTGTGTGTATGTGTGTGTGTGTGTGTGTGTGTGTGTGTGTGTGTGTGTGTGTGTGTGACTTCAGGTCTTCCTCAGGCCAACAGAGCTAAGATCTTCCAGGGTTTAACCATGGACCAAGGCTTCTTCACTTCCAAAGACTTCCTGCCCATGGTGGCCTCAGCCAGCAAGAAAGGTACGGACGAAATCAAACTTAAACTTCCGATGAAAATCACGTTTTTAACCTCGTTAACGTCCATATGATGTTTTTATTTAATACAAGATATAATGACTGAAATAATCATCAACGCCATGACTGAGTGTTTCCACCAATGACAGTGTCATAAAAACGTCACAAACCTCAGGAACCAATCCTGTCAACTTGGGGGGGCGGGGCTAAATACACCTGAAACCTTGTCAGTACAGACAGAGGGAGAGAGTTAGCATTAGCACAACTACCAACACTGTGTCAGCCACTGGCAGTTACAAGCTAACTAACAACATAAACAAATAAAAGATGCTAACTGTGCTAACAGTTCTGATCCGTCCGCTAGTCTCTGGTTCTGGTCTCAACAGACTCCTCCTCTGAGTCTGGGTCTGACTGAGTCTCTCATCACCGTGTCTCCGTCCATCTCACTCTGTCCAGGTATGTGTCAGTGTCGCGCTTCACTGCCAGAGTTAAGAGGCGTGGTGATTGTCCTCGGGGCCGGAGACACCGCGTTTGACTGCGCCACCTCGGCTCTTCGCTGCGGAGCCAGGAGAGTGTACATCTGCTTCAGGAAGGGCTTCACTAACATCAGGGCTGTTCCTGAGGAGGTATGGACGTGGGATAGACAGATACATGGACAGATGGATAAATCAGGAATACTGAATATATTGTTTATGATTTTGACTGCGTTGCACCAACAGGGTCAGTCCGATAATCATGAATGTCACTGACTGACTGACTGAGTGATCATATTTTCACCATTGGTCAGCTGAATGCCAATTGGAGCTGGAGCCAATAAATAATTGTGTCTACTGCAGAGTCATTTGACCCGGGTGTGAATGCTGATTAAATCCTTTTCCATCGCCAACAAAATCCAGATGTTAGCGGGTTTTTTGACCAGTGGAAACGGGGCTTTATATACTACTATAGTTATACTAATTTACCCAAATACCAGAGGAAGTGTAACAGCACAGCTACCCATAATCCAAGGCAGTAAAGGTCTGAGAGCTTCAGAGGAGAGGAGTCCTCTTTCAAATTAACTCGATGCAAAAACGCAAAAAGAACAGAGTTCAGGACTTTAACAGGACTGAGTTTGGGTCGTTTATAAAGGAGTAGATGTGAAAACACCCTAATATTCTAAACATGTGAATGAGAACAGCTTCATTGTGAATCTGGCCGTATTAAAATGCTGTATATGTGAGCACAGAGCTGAAGCCAGCTGACCGCTCACTATGTCCTGACCTGGTGTTGTGTTCTGTCAGATGGAGCTGGCGAAGGAGGAGAGGTGTGAGTTCCTGCCCTTCCTGTCTCCTCGTGAGGTCGTCATGAAGAACGGACGGGTCGCCGGGATGCAGTTCTGTCGCACCGAGCAGAACGAGGAAGGTGATTGGCTGGAAGATGAAGACCAAGTTGTCAGGCTGAAGGCTGATTACATCATCAGCGCCTTCGGCTCCATGCTGAACGAGCAGCAAGGTAACGAACCAATGAGCTGACAGCTAGTGATCCACAGTTTGCCTTTTTGATTTCCCTTCAGTAGAACTACTGTAGAACTACCTACAGTTAGAACTGAAGATGCATCAGAGGATGTGCGTGAGATTTATTTACATCAGACAAAACGTCCTACATCATGTATATTTTCATTGTTACAGAACAGAAATCGAAGCTGTTTGTTGGACGGATGCAGTAGATGCAGGCAGACATGTTTTCATATATCAACCTGATCCGTGTGTTGACTTTTTTTGTAGTGACTGACGCCATGGTTCCTGTGAAGATGACCCGCTGGGGTACTCCGGAGGTGAACACAGACACCATGCAGACCAGCGAGCCCTGGGTGTTTGCGGGAGGAGACATCGCCGGTTTGGCAAACACCACAGTGGAATCGGTGAACGACGGCAAACAGGCCTCGTGGCACCTTCACAGATACGTCCAGGTAAATCTCATGAGACGTTTTAAAACACGGGGCTCTGAAGAGATCTGCTCCAACAGCAGCGTGTTTGTCATTCATTCTTAAAGCTACAGTAAGCAAGTTCTGGAAGTCAAGCTAGCGGTACCGTAAGAAACGAAAGCTCCCGCCTCCGACTTTGGCGTTCTCTGATTAGTTAGAAGGGCGTGGCGCGCATTATCTCTCCCCTGCTGCTGCTGCAGGCAGTTCAACGAGTCTGAGCCACAGGAGCCTTTGACAGCACCTCTCCACTTTAAGATCATCCCAACTTGAAACACAGTGTCTGACTGCGTTGACAGATAGGTCTGTCAAAGTGTGCACCACACCGCCATGTTTGGATCCTCTGACATTTGTTACTGTTTTGTGCTGTGGTGTGTTCGTGCGTTGAAGGTTTTTCTGACGTGCGTCTCCCTTTGAATGTAACCGCGCAGACCGCAACAACTGTGATTGGTCCGCATGTGTCGTCCGTGTCTCCCAGTCGCCAGACAAGCCTCAGTCTGTGCGACGGTCGTACACACCCTCTCCTCCAATGTCGTCTTTAGATGTCAGTAGTCGACGCAGACACACCAGCGCACAAGTATAAATCCTCACAACAACGTAGACCTGTGTTGCAGTCGGCAGAAGCCAAACAGAATAAACGATAGCAAGCATGTTTTCTTCTTCTTTGATTCTTGTCATCGTCTGAGATGATTCACAGGAGCACCTGAACGCATCGCACAAAGAGCATTCATGAATAATGGGGCTTGACTTCGGACTGAACGACATAAAATGTAATATCAGTGATTAAAACATCCTGTCCCTTCCTTCTGTAGTCCCTGCATGGACAGGCGGTGGATCCGGTCCCGAAGCTGCCGTTGTTCTACAGCGCTATAGATCAGGTGGACATCAGCGTCGAGGTTTGCGGAATAAAGTTTCCCAACCCGTTCGGCCTGGCCTCTGCTCCTCCCACCACCAGCACGGCCATGATCCGACGAGCTTTTGAACAAGGATGGGGCTTCGCTCTGACCAAGACGTTCGGACTGGACAAGGTAAACGCACACAACAGTCACGTGGAGTGGAGGTTACAGAGATTCTTCTTTTAGTCAAAAGTATATTTTACAAAAGAGCTGGAAGCAAAGTTCATGATGAGTTTACGACACAGAGACAAGACTCATGTAGTTGTAATGACCCCGGTTTGAGTCCAGTCTTTGTCTCCTCTGTTTCCTGTCGGCTCTCTACTGCCTCCTGTCTGATAAAGTGAGTAACACAGAGTGCGGCATTACAGTAACTCTCTGGGGTCTTCTACATGTTAAGCTCTGCATTGTTCAGGACTTGAACGTTTCTGCACTTTTTAATGGGATATTATCTATTTAATAATCTGTGTTTTTATACTGTTTTCTTATTGTGCTTGTTACCTGCATATTCTTCTTTTACTTGTGTTCAGCACATTGAATGACCTCTGTGTATGATCATTTATGTAGTGAATGCATGTCCAGTGACAGTAATATGAAAGAGGTTTAGTCGGACGTCACTGCCCGTGGAAACACAGAGTGAACGGCAGAAAACGTTTCATATACTGGTTAAACTTTCACAGGGAGTGTCTCATTTCATCCTCAGCATGTGTTTGTCAGAGAGCGTGTCGCATCACGTGAGTGAACCTTTCTCCGCAGGACCTCGTCACCAACGTGTCTCCTCGTATCGTGCGTGGCACCACCTCGGGGCCTCTGTACGGCCCCGGCCAGGGCTCCTTCCTGAACATCGAGCTCATCAGTGAGAAGACGGCGGCCTACTGGTGTCAGTCCGTGGCTGAGCTGAAGAAGGACTTCCCCGACAATGTCAGTTTTCCTGTCACGTCACATCACGTTTCTTCTTGCTCTGAGGAGAGAAGAAAACTAACCCGAGCCTCTTCTCTCTGCCAGGTGGTGATCTCCAGTATAATGTGTAGTTACAACAAGGAAGACTGGACGGTACTGGCCAAGATGGCAGAGGTAAGACAGACCACCAGCTCTAGTAGGTGTGCGCAGTGAAAACCATGCTGTAATTATTATATGTGCAGAGCGTACAGAGGTTCCAGCTGTGAGTGTGTGTGTGAAATAGAACAATGTGTGTGTTTAGGAATCAGGAGCAGATGCACTGGAGCTGAACCTGTCCTGTCCCCATGGGATGGGAGAGAGAGGCATGGGCCTGGCCTGCGGACAGGTACACACACACACACACACACACACACACACAAGCCCACACAACTATGGGTGTTTCATATATGTTATAAATGTATATCTTCATATACCCAGAGGTTGTATATAGTATATGATAGTAATATAAGTGACATCTATGTCAACATCACTCTTGATATGTGTCATATAAAACATGTTTGTCGTTAGGACCCCGTGCTTGTGCGTAACATCTGTCGCTGGGTGCGAGCAGCAGTTTCCATTCCCTTCTTTGCCAAACTGACGCCAAACGTTACCAACATCGTTGACATCGCCAAGGCTGCTCACGAAGGTACAACACCACATCACCACTCCTCGCCTCGTTCTCTTCTTCTCTCCGTGTCACTTCTGCTTCTGCGTTTTTTTTTACATCACACGATTAAAATTCGACAGTATAATAATGTAGAGAAGGTTGTTGATTGTTGTCACCGTTGTGTTGTTTTACAGGCGGAGCAGACGGAGTCACCGCCACCAACACAGTCTCAGGACTGATGGGACTGAAGGGGGACGGCTCCCCCTGGCCGGGGGTTGGAGCGGAAAAACGCACCACGTATGGAGGGGTGTCTGGTGAGGACACACACACACACACACACACACACACACACACACACACACAATCCCTTGTAACTGTTACTGTTACTGTTAAATACCAGTAGTTATAAAAGGTTCTTAATAAACTGAGGGAAAGATTTTAAAGAGAAATGTTAAATGAAAGATATATTGAATTTCCATATATGAAATACATGTACAAATGAAATAAAATCATATATGTAAATACATTACAGTTGTAAACTGTTGGAAATTGGAACAATTTCATATATTGTCATATATGTCTAGCTCATACAACCATATATGTTTATGTAGGTATGTAATATATGTAAATTAATTACATATGTAAAGATAAAAGATAGACCTATATGTTTAAAATTTATAAGAAAAACATATATAAACATATAGAATTTTTATATGTATGTTGTTTTAATTAACTGTATATAACATTAACAAATATGGTTTCAACATGTTACACCTTCCAAAAATTCATGATAGATATTTTTAATACATACTGTGGGTATTACAGTATGTCATATATTACATTTCCTGTACGGGTTTCCCTGCAGCGTCTCTGTCTTGCAAACACCCATGAGTCCAGAGCGTAACACAGACTTTCTGTTGCCATGCCAAGATATCTCTTATGACATCATCAAGACTAGATAGATAGACAGACAGACGGACAGACAGACACTCTGAGCATTTAGCAATATTAACGCTGTGTGCAGGTAACGCCATCAGACCCATCGCTCTCAGAGCGGTGTCGGCCATCGCCAGAGCGATTCCTGGTTTCCCTGTTCTGGCCACGGGGGGCATTGACTCAGCAGAGGCCGGACTACAGTTTCTCCACGCTGGAGCCTCAGTGTTACAGGTGATAATCACGTTACTGTTACTGCTGCTGAGGTGAGACTGCAGTAATGCTTTGATGATGCAGCACATGGGTCCAGTCTTGTTTTTATTTAGTTCATTATATTTATATTATATATTATATGTTTATTTATTTGTGTCATTGCCTTTATTTTAAATCCACTATTTTGCCCCGTATTCGTTGTTTTCCAGCAATAAGGTTCATACTGTCCTTTAAAGGCTTTATAGTATTAGTAGTTTTTATTCAGTCATCACACATAATACAGTCACTATAAACAATATAGAGGGCAAAAACACAAATAAATGAAATATTAAATAGTGACTAAACAGACTCAGCCCGAAGCAAAATGCTTATATTTGCCTGCCTGCATTCTTATTTAATTAATTTAAGCTTCCCCACCCAAAAATAAAAGAAAACTCTGTTAACCACTCTTTTGTAAACCTAAAGGAAATTACACATTTTTAAATGTATATTAGCATTGTTCCATAATTTAACCCCAACAACAGAAACACGTCTCCTTTTAATCCCTTTTTTAGCTTTTTGTGCAGTAAACTTACAAACATCTCTCAGATCGTATTTGTTCTCCTGTATTATGGGGGTGAGATACAAAATGTTAAAATATATATTTCTCTTCTGTCTGTCACAACAGGTGTGCAGTGCAGTTCAGAACCAGGACTTCACAGTGATTGAGGATTACTGTCTCGGTACGTAACTGTTTCTAAGTTTGTATTTTGTCTTCGTTGCTAAACTCAAACAATGACCTCAGTTTACTGGTGCCCTGTTTTTCCCAGCAAGATCTTCTGTGCTGTGTTTTGAACTAAAGTCCATATTGTGACACTGATGTGGTTCGTTTAAAAGAAAAAACGCTTTTCGTCAGTGGTGTCAATAAAGTTTCCAGAGTGATGTGTATAATTCAACCACTTCTCCAACCTCAACAACCACACAGGTCCTTTTTTGTTTTTTTCCAACCCTCTGATACCACCCATAGGAGGGTGGTGCCTATGGGAGACATATATATATATACATATATATGTACACTTTGCATTCCCTCCGCCCTCCTGAAACCCACCTGAACATGTTCCAGTGTATTCAGATGCCACTGCTTTAAGATATTTACACTACATGATAATGATATCAGGGTAAATGTATGTGTTTGGTCTGAAGGTCTGAAGACCTTGTTGTACCTCAAGAGCCTGGAGCTGAAGGACTGGGACGGCCAGTCTCCTCCGACAGAGAGACACCAGAAAGGAAAACCAGTTCCCAGACTGGAAGAGCTGGTTGGAAAGGTACTGCTGCAATAATCCAGTTACTGCAATTACAGTGACTACTCCTGTTATCAGCACCACTAAATGGTTGAATGTGTGTGTGTGTGTGTGTGTGTGTGTGTGTGTGTGTGTGTGTACGTGTGTGTGTGTAGAGCCTCCCTAGCTTTGGTCCATACCTGCAGCAGAAGACAGACGCTATTGCACAGTACAAGAAGCGGCTCAGAGACGCTGGTAAAACCGATGTGACAGAGACCATCATCACTCGGGGCGGGACTCCCAAAAAACCTGTTCCTGCTGTCAAGGTGCGGCAAATATACACTCACTCTTCATCAGGATGTGTCACACTTTGTTCTGTGAAATGCATCTTTAAGCTTGTAAACATCTACGGTCTGTGCGTGGTTGTGTGTGTGTGTGTGTGTGTGTGTGTGTGTGTGTGTGTGTGTGTGTGTGTGTGTGTGTTTCTAGGATGTGATAGCCAGAGCATTGCGCCACATCGGAGCGTACCAGGAGCTTAACAACATGGAGCAGGTACGTAGTTCTCTCTCACCTGTTGTTACCACTTCATATTGTAATGACTGTGCAGGTACATGTGAAGTGAAGTCGTTGGCTTGAAAATAAACGGAGGGAGAAACATGGATGAATCACTTTTCTTGACATTCTTGACGGATTTCTCAGGATAATTAGATTAAAATGTTCCTGGTTCTAACACGGTCAATATTCATACGTCACAAACCTAAGGAACCAATCCTGTCACCTTTCTATGCTGTGTCATCAGCATCTTTAAATACACACATGTATACATATATATATATATATATATAGTGAATTAAACACTAAACCATAGAACTGTAACTGCAGACAGATGAACAAAATTTCTGACGTGCCAGGTATTGAATCAGTTGTTTGAGAGGGAAATCAGGCAGTTAATCGGTTAATCAGGCGTTGTGATCCCGTCCAAACCGTACGTCAAATGAAAACATATCTTGAAGAAATTCGGCTCAATTCTGGGGTTAAAATTTGTGGATTAATCTGCACAGTGGCTGCCTGCCAAAGAAATCTGTCCAGGACAAGGACATGAATTTTTCATAAGGTGACAGCTGCAGTAGTGTCAGGAAAAGAACTGCCAGAGGGTCACAGATAATTACTTACTTTACTTGATTACTTCAAAATAAAATGAGTGTGAACTGATCATTATCATGACCCTCCCCTGTATCCTCAGGTCCAGGCTCTGATAGATGAAGAGATGTGTATCAACTGTGGGAAATGTTACATGACCTGCAATGACTCCGGTTACCAGGTACGTCAGTGACATAAACACAGTTGTCTTCTCCTCTGTTTTATTTAAGACTCATCTGCCTCATTTGTGTAACACTTCATTTGTCTTCCCAGGCCATAACGTTCGATCCAGAGACCCACCTTCCCTTTGTGACTGACAGCTGTACGGGCTGCACCCTGTGCCTCAGCGTTTGCCCAATCATAGACTGCGTCACCATGATTACCAGGACAACACCCTATGTACCCAAGAGGGGTGTACCCATCAGTCCTGTCTGCTAAAAGTAAAGACAAACCAAAACTTTCTACTGATTTAATGATGGAGATTAGATATTATACATTTAAATTAATCAACCTTCAGCATGAAGCTTGAGATATTGTTTCCTGTTAATGCAAATAATTTGGATGATGTAAAGAGTTGAAGATGATGTTTATCTTCTTGATAGAGGAGGAGAATGGGAGTTTATGGGAAATTTTAAGAAATACTAGCACTAATACTACCACTGTGGAAAGAGGCAACCAACCTTTTTAAGGTCAAGGTTCACCATAATGGTATCAAATTAATTTTTCAATAATTTAACCGTCGCTTCTGATTCAAATTACGTTGTGCCTTGTGGATTCTGCTTTGTTATTATCTTTCTGTAAACACATGTAAACCTATTATATCTGATTAAATTTACAATAACTGTATGTTAAATGTAATAATGCAAAAAGAAATGCTTTGATGCAATATAATCTGTGATTTCAATAAAGGTTGTCTGATGCAGCAAACTATCTGTACAGTGGAGCACAAGCTAACACCATTCATTTTATGTTTCATTCATCATAAAACAACCTGCATATAACACACGTTTCTATATATTCATCAGAAATATGTAGAAACATAAACCAAATTATCATCTGTGTAGAAAACAAAGTGTCGCATTAGAATGAAGCATGACAGGATGAAAACATCTGTGTTGTAACATCTGTGCCATCAATGACATGATAACAGATGTGACCCTGCTACATTACTGCCTGATTTAATTATAGTAGACAACATCACTCAATATACAAAATGTACATATTTAAATATGTTCACTCATCTCTCTAAAAATAAATACAAATAGGAATAAACAGAGAAGCTGTAGTTTTTCTGGAAATTCAAGTGTTAAAGCAGGATAATAATATTTACATGATAGGCTATGGTAGGAAAACAGTAAACGTATCGTACAGTGTAATGTGGAATTGTGTGTAATTCAGTATAATGTGTTCTAATAATACATACATGATGGGGATATAGGGTTTTTTTTTCTGTGTATTCCCTGCCCTTTCCCTCCCACAGATATGCTCAGTAACCATAGCAACCAGTTGCTGCACAGTTGCTGGATTAATTTACTGTTAGGCCATGTTGTCCTCTCCTAGCAGGAGAAATCACTGTAGCTTTTTATTTATTTATTTATTTATTTTTATTGACAATCTTTATAACAGTCAAAAAGGCACAAATCACGTTCAGGATAAATGCAGAAAATATAGGAACAACTGAGCAAGCAGTAATGAGAATAGAAATACATTAAAAATAAAAATATAAATAAAATAAAATATATTTAAAATGAATTTAAAAAAAAAACTTAATTAACAATTGTACATATAAAATAGAAATAAAGGGACAAAATAAGACATGAATCAGGTATTAAAGTGCAGAGATAATCATACCGATGTTGGGTTTCCTTAGTATTACAGCATTTCACATATTTTTTATATAATATTATTTAATTTAAATAAGCATCAAATACAGGTGTGGTTTTTAAGAAACCGCATTTATGTCTAAAATATTTTGCTAAAATTAATAATAATTAAAAATAATAATTAAATGTTCATTCCCAAGCTTCATTTTTTTGTTTTCCATTTGAGGACCAAATTTTATATTTTTATACTGTCGCTTTATGACGGATAAACACAAACAGTGTGCAGTGTACCCCCCTAAACAGTAGGTGGCGGTAGTGCGCCTACCGGATACTGTTGGTTGCCAGGAGCCATCAATAGCCAGGAAGAAGAAGAACGCCCATTTTGCTCACACTGTCCAGGCACCGAAGTGGGCTGAAATAACAGACAGACAGAAGAGGACAAAGAGCTGCAATGGACGGGTAAATAAGTCCACATCACAGATAATCCTTCTGGGTGCTCTTACTAGAGCTGTGCATGTGGCAGAGGCAGAACGAGCCGTTTTCCGTGCTCAATTTAAGATATGCTAACTGTTAGCTCAGCTGCGAACCTTGATACTGACGTTAGCTACCCAACGACACCAAGTCCCAGACAAGAAATGTGCCAGTTTATTGTTGTCTTGCTTGTAGGGAAATGTACAATTATAGGAGGGCGTGCCTCAAGAGCATAATTACATATCACTTCTGCAATATGTAGTTATTAGTTAGCTCGTTGCCAAAAGGTAATAACGTTCAACATAGTATCACCTTTGCTCGTGCGTATAATGAACGTTAACGTTAGCTTACGTTCCATTAACACAGTGTAGCTACCGCTGAGTAGCTGGATAAATGGCGTCAGTTTTCCCGGTTATTTTTACTGTAACGGGCTATTTGTTACTTGACTTGTGTGTTACAGAGTTTCCCACAGAATTAGATTCTATTTGTGGCGGTAGCTGAACGAGGCGGGGCTGGGGGGGGGGGGGGGGTGCTTTCTTAAAATAATATTAAATAGCCTAATACATTTATATACGGTCCTGCTCTGTAAATGTTTTAATTGCTTAGTACTGAACAATATATATATACACCTCCATTGCCTCACATAACATCAGGGTCGATTACATCTTGTGGCTGTCCAGTGAGCCTGGTCCCGGTGTTATGTCAAAGTCTGTTTACCTGTCAAGATGTGTTTCCTCTCACCTTAACGTGATCCTAACCCTAAACACCGAGCATCTCAGCTGGGTAACAGTTAGGTGCCCGTTGTCAGTGTGTTTGCATGGGTGAGATGGAGAGGAGCTGAGCAAGGAGGGTGTTGGAGGGTGATGTGATGAATATCTTGTTTTATAACAGTCCAAAAAGTAAAGATACTTAGTTTACTATCATGGCAGATAAAGCAAAAGCAGCAAATTCTTATTATTAAATAGTTGCACGAACGTCATGTGTTGAAAAATAGTTAGGTGGGGGGGGGTAAAAAAATTAATTCAGACGGTGGTACAATCCATTCTGGGTAAATTAAACTGCAGCCAACGCCTCAGCTCCATTTACCACAGCAGAAAATGTTTTTCACCTGGAAGAATTCAACATTTACAAGGACATTTTATTTTTGTAAATTCAGCAAAGAGTGAAACATTGAAAAAAAAAAATCTGATTTGGAATATAAATAGCTGCGACCTCTAAAAACTCTTTCCCTTCTCTTTGCTCTCCCCATAACAATGTTAACAAACTGCAAATTATGAGCCATGTTTTCCTGTCATTTTGTTGTTGGGTGCTCCTGGACAGCACAGGTGTTATCATTGATTGTTACCATGGTAACGTTGGTCTTAGGCCTGAGTTAGTGTGGGGGTTAGATGTCTCATTTTTTATTTATTTTTTGTCTTTAAATTGAATTGCATCAGACTACACAGGTGTACACAAAGTGGACACTGAGGAAATTGATATGTGGCTATTTTAATACATATTATCACGTACTGTACTCACAGCAGTCTTCATGCATATTCAAGTAAAACCTGTACTTGTCATTTGACAGTTTCTGATAGCACAAATAGATTTTTTTTTAAATCAAAGCTGTTACTGACCTTTTCTGGGTGTGTGATCTGTTGGACCGTATGGAGGTACGATCCAAGAGATTGCACACAACACACCCGGAAAAGCAAACTAGTGTATGTAGTCCAGTGCAGCAAGGAGCGCACAGACCTACATATCAGTGAAACCAAACAACCACTGAACACATGGCTCCACACGGGAGGGCCAACACCTCAGGCCAAGAGTCAGCAGTTCACCTACACCTGAAGGATAAGAGACACTCCTTCCATGACAACCGTGTACGTATTTTAGAAAGGAGGGACAGATGGTTTGAAAGAGGAGTGAAGGAAGCCATCTATGTCAGAGTAGAGAAGCCATACGACGCCACTTGTCCCCCCGCATACAATGCTGTCCTTTCATCCCTTCCCAGGAGATTTAACAACCTGTCACACTTGGCCTCATGTGACTGCAACAACTCCAGCGACTGTCACCACAACGATCAGGAGCAGTAACGACCCCAGTGAAATCAGTGGCCTTGATACTGGGTCTCCTCACCAGTCAGACTTTTCCTATCAATCCTTTTAATGACAATAAGTCCTCGCAGATCTGAAGTGGCAGTGGCGTGATTACACCAGTGGGAGGCAGCGATGTACTAAACTTTGGTTTGTCTGCCTGAAAGAAGAAGATGATGCTACAGGGCGGGCTTTGTTGTGAGCCTGTCTTCCTGTGCTTGTCACCAATGTTGCGAAATTTTGATTGATATTATGGCTCGACTTTCAGATGTTTGTGGTTGACGTCTGTCCATCTTCGGTTTTAGAGGGATTCATCACACTTGTTGGAAAACCTTGGGCTGTGGGCGGGTCCCATTGGGACAGCCGGGCAATTGTAGAGGAAACACTGAGCTCTTTGTTGTATTTTTGAATTATAGTAATTTGGTTTGCGGTTTATCTTGGCTGGTGCACAAGTCCACATTTCTTAGCATTTTTATTAATGGATAAACTACCCCCATCATTGTGGGCAACACCAGGAGGATGCAGATATAAAATAAAGAAAAATCCATGTGTTGAATTTTTGAACCTGTGAAACCGTATGTGCCTCTGTACATTAGGAACCAGTTTTGTTCCACACTTAAAGTAATATGCCACAACTTTTTCATCCGGGTTGTACTCTAACCAAGTTCCCTTCCCTCTCTTTCAGAGTTAAATAATTGCATGTCCTTGAAAATTTGAAATAACATTCTTGTCTCTTACTTTTCTTCTTTCATCTTCCTGTTTCCTCCCTTTGGCAGAGATGTTGCGGTTGGTGTGAAGGTAAGCTGTCTCACTTCTTTTTACAAATTTTACATGAACACACATTTTCTATGTCTGTATGATATTGTCCTCGATGCCCAGCGTGATTTTAGGATACGGCAGGTCAAACTAATTAACATCTGGGAGGACACTCCAAGATAAGACGCTATAAAGTTTTGTGTTAAGCTTGGTAGGATGGTAATAATATTAAACTAAAAGCCTAATGTATAATTTTGTCTATTGTTTGCTGATGTTATGTGCATAGGTGATATGTTATAATGAGCAATAACAGGATATCAGCTGCCTTTTGTTTTTGTTCAGTAAGGCATAAAGATTATACAGTATGTTTGATGTATGTTTGATATTAACACATAACTGTGTTTATAATAATAGAAATTAAGATATAAATGAAAATTTCATTTTTTTTTCTCCATAACTTTTCAGAGAGGCTCAGATGAGCTCAACATGTATGGTAGCAGCCCCAACTCTATGACCGGTAAGACCAACCTTAACCCTGATGGGATGGGCAAACACCCACCACAGATGATCAGACGCCTGGAAGATATTATTTATATCGAGAGCCACATAACCAGAATTTGATCAAAACAAGCTTTAAATTCATAAGTTGGATTGTGAGTGTACTAAGGTATTTACACCTGCTCCTCGATGGGCTTCATGTTGTACATAACATGACACAGATCAGAAGTTGAATAAAGTCTTTGACTATGAAAAGATCAAAGCTTGTAGGAAGTCTGGCTGACGGCACCAAAATATCTTTTAGTAGAAAGTGTGTCTGGTGGTGACGAAGCCTGTTGCTCTAGAGTTGCGGTGTCATGTGCTAATTTAATTTAAACATTTTGTGTGTGTGTGTGTGTGTGTGTGTGTTTGTGTCCATCTGCAGCGAATGGCAGTGACAGTAAGAAACAGCGTCTGGATGAATCACCTCCCTCCAGAGTTCTCCACATTCGGAAACTTCCCAATGAAGTGTCAGAGACTGAAGTCATTGCTTTGGGGCTACCCTTTGGAAAGGTCACCAACATACTGATGCTCAAGGGGAAAAACCAGGTAAACTATAACAGAACTCTATACTGTCAACATATACTTTAGGTTGTGAACAATAGGATAACACAAAGTGTTCAATTGAATAATTTTCTTCTTTTCTAAACAAGAAAAATGACGATTTGTTATTCTTCAAATCTATTTTACTGTGTTTTTCCAGGCTTTTCTGGAGCTCGGTACAGAGGAAGCAGCCATTACTATGGTGAACTACTACACAGCTGTCACTCCACAGGTCTGAAATGCATCAGTGTTCATTCATGTTGGTCATATTCCTTCAGTGTGAGTCTGCGTGTGTCTGGGATGTCATGAGAACCGAGACGCGAGCGAGATAGTTTGTGTTTGACGCAGGGCGGCAGGGATAAGTTATAGACACAGTTATAGACACACTTCAAACTTATCTTAACACCTCAAACACAGACATCCAGATCTGTACACAGAATTCAGGGTGAGTGAGTTTCAGTTGTTGAATTTATATGTTTATTTTATATTTTCGCTTTTTTATGTTTTTTGCATCTTATCTTATCTTGTCCTGAAATGTGACCGTCATTGTTTGTGAATTGTGACAGCTGCAACTGTCACAAAGGCTAATGTTAGCTTGTTTAGGCTAACGTAGCAACAGCTACTGGGAATTACTAGCCTACTGTCATCAGCTAAAATAAACTGTACCATAAAATACAAAGCTGACTTTTTATTTTATTTTTTTTAATCAGAGGCATTTTTGCCTTTATTTGATAGTACAGTGAGAGGTAGACAGGAAGTTCAGGGAGAGAGAGTGAGGGGATGACATGCAGCAAATGGCTATGGGTCGGATACATCTGCAGGATCATGAAACTTCACAGGTGTGTAGTTGAAATCAAAATGAAGGCCACGTTTGAAGATGGGTGTGGTCCGACCCATGAGTTTTGAAGATGGGTGTGGTCCGACCCATGACATGTTGACATGTTGATTGGCTGGTGTGATCCCATCAAGAAGATTGTCTCTAGTTGTGTTCTGGTTTTGTTGTAAGGGATACAAACTGAATTGTTTATTAACGGACCTCATTCTGTGTAGGTCAGAAACACACCTGTCTTCATCCAGTACTCCAACCACAAGGAACTGAAAACAGACTCAGCTCTGAACCAGGTACACACATCCATGTATTTGTACACTTGACGCTACGCTTCAGCTGAGCCAGGTGGTTGGACTGATGTAGGATTTGATGTTTTTGTCGTTCTGCCCAGAGAGCCCAGGCAGTGCTGCAGGCAGTGTCAGCAGTTCAGGATGGAAGCTCTCCATCCTCCGACCCAGGGGTTCTGGACCTCGCTCCGCCCCCCAGCCCTGTCCTGCGAATTATTATTGACAACATGTTTTATCCTGTGACACTGGACGTTCTACAACAGGTAAAGCCTGAACACCTTACATAAAACACACAGCCCCATAGTCCAGTTTGACCTTTTTCCTGTTGTCTGGATCAACTCAGCTACAAAAACAGCAGCTTTATAGCAAAACAGAACCTTTCTGGGGAGGAAAGGAGGAAGGAAATCATTTAGGGCTGCATACATAATCGACATCGCTAATCTCTGTAATTATTTTTAGCTACATCATTGTGCACAGAGCAATGTATTACGACAGGCTGTAAACTGTAGATAAAATCTCCAAATCACAACAGCGCTGTCACTCAGACGCTGCACGGTGCGCAAAGATTTTTATAACTGAACTATGAGCAGATGATCGTCAAATACATTCAAATGTGAGTCTTACAGGTAAAACATGAAAGTTTAGGGTGGACTTGGCAGGACAGTGAATGATATAGTTTTCACATTTTTAGATAAGGTAATATATATTTATATATATGTATATGTGTGTGTGTGTGTGTGTGTGTGTGTGTATATATATACATATATATATATATATATATATATATATATGAGAAAACCATGAACCAATGAACCATAAGCACATGACAAATGCACAGCTGATATCCCCTCCTCCACTTGTGCAGCTGTTAGAAATGCCACGTCAGCTCTGATGTCCTGATTCTGGGACAGTCCTAATTACATGAATGAACACTGTTGCCCTCTCAGAGGCATGTGGCCTTTTGTGATGCCCCTCCCACTGTCTTGGAGATTGTCCTTACCCACGTCGGCAGGCAATTGGTTCGGCGTGTGAGGGTCGTCAGCTGATGCTGTTGCTGGCCCATGTGTTCACTTGTCCTCTCCGTTCCATCTGCTGACATCCATTTGTTTTTGTGTATCATTTGCTCCACAGCACATGTACCGCTCCTCCATGCGCTGCTTTCATGGCTGAACCTGCTGATTTCCACGCCTCATTGCTAATTGGTCTTATGTTATAAAATAAATTGTTTGGTTTTTCTCAGTATAACTTTGTGTGATCTCCCTTATTGTCACTTTCTCAGTTTGAGACTCTTTCAAAAGCTCATTGGGATAATATTCATATGTCACACAGCTTTAAACGAGAATGTTAAAAGTCAAGTGTTATGTTTTTGTTTTATTCTCTATGAATCATTTGACTCTTGCAGATCTTCAGTAAATTCGGGACGGTGATGAAGATTATAACCTTCACCAAGAACAACCAGTTTCAGGCTCTGCTGCAGTTCAGTGACCCCGTCAACGCACAGCAAGCTAAACTGGTAGGATCACACAAACAGCCTTTTACATCAGCAACCATGCTAACAGATACTCTGTTTAAGGATTATCAGGGGAAGGTGTGGAGTTTTGAACGGGGTTGATGGGGACTGCAGACGAGGGACTCGGATGTGTTTTCTATAAATAAAAGTAGCTGTAACCCACACCTCCAATCTGGTGTCACTGATTGGACTCCAGGTTTGTTAACTCCTGACTCCAGTTAGCTTCTGTTGATGTCGTTGGCTGAGGAGCTCATGTGCTTCTTTCAGCCTACAGTGTGAATGTTTGAATGATGTGTTAAATATTGTTTTAAGACTAATTTATGCAGATAATTCCAAAGGGTTCACTCACTTTTGTAGATGGGAAAAAAAACCCGCTGTTAACACACATTTCTCCCTCTTGCGCTCCTTCACACCAGTCTTTGGACGGACAGAACATCTACAATTCCTGCTGTACTCTGCGGATAGACTTCAGTAAACTGGTCAACCTCAATGTCAAATACAACAACGATAAGAGTCGAGATTACACGAGACCCGACCTCCCTACAGGAGACGGAGAGGCGACCAACAAGGATCATTCTTTATTGGGTAAATACACCGCTCTCCTGGTCCGTCTCCACGGCGTCCGTTCATATCAGTCAGTCCTCGTTCCATGTGGAAAATTTATTCCAAAGTTTAAAGTAAAGTAGGTATTTTCCAAACTTGGTCATTTTTAGTGTGAAATTCCCTCTTCTGTGTTTCAGTGACAGTGTTTGTTTAAAGACATTATTTTAAGACAGACTTCAAAATTGTGAACTTGTACTTGAAGGTTGAATTAAACATGTTTTAGTGCTTTGTAAGTCGGTCTTAAAGTTAAACCAGTGAAAACCTGCAACAGCTACAGAGTAGGACCTAGCTTTCTGTAATCTGTAAATGCTCTACATGTCAATATGTTAGTGACAAAGGAACTTTAGAAAACTTCAGTTAAATGCTCTTTTGTCTCAGGGTGATTCGAGACCCCAGGCTAGGCCAGACAACAAGTGGTAAACCTAAGGCTCCATGTGCACGGCCACTCATCACAGACGCACAACAATGTTTAGAAAAGATTTTATCACAAGCTAAAGCACTAGACAACGTCTGCTGGAGAGATTCACAGCACCAGTCGTTCATCTTTATTAGATTTTATTCTCTATTCTTGCTTTTTCTCTTGTTCCTCCCTCGTCTCCTCTGCTGGGTCAGTAAACGGTAACCTGCCTAACTACCGACCTTCATAAGAAGCACTGTGGTTATTGTGTAATAGAACTGTGGGAAATGACTGTAAGGCAGGTTAACTAGTGAGTTATGGAGGCAAACAGAGTAGTTTCTCTGTACTGTGGAACTACTATATATTTATTTATCCTTCCATCTTTATCTTGTCACTGTTTTTATCAGGTGTGACAAGTAGAAAACCGTTAACACTACAAGGTTAATCCTCATACATGTAATACTTGCCAAATGTGGATGTGTATACAATTAGCTACTAATATTATGTTAACACTTAGCCATAAAGTTTACCTTCAAAACGCTATTCCACAAACCGATGGGTGACTTCGTGGTGAGTTGCTGCTTGGTCTGTTACAGTGTAAAAACAGACCCTGTGTTTTTGGGCCATAACTCGAGAATTCAAATTCAAATCATGACACAGTTTAACACAAATGTCTAATAGGATAAAAAATGATGATGTAATGACATTTTATATTCAGAGGTCGAAGGTCAACTTCACTGACGTCATCATCAGTTCACATGGGTTCACTTATAACTGAAATGAACTGAGAGTCTGAACACTTTCTAAAACCACTGTCTAGGAGTAACCGTAGTTAAATATTTGCTGCTTTGACAACATTTACTCTGATGTAGGTCAGTTTGGTTTCTTGTGATAATTGTATTCTGTGGTGTGACGTTAGGTGTGTATTCTGTGGTATAAATGTACTTTTGTCATTGTCTTGTAGGTACCCCATCTGGAGCGCTGGCTTCCTACTCTAGTGGAGGAGGTTACTCATCATCTCTCTCCCTGTCACAGGGTGGAGGTACATATCTTTTCTTCTTTCCATCACTCTGTTTTTCCACCACTCAGAATTAAGACTCATAATGAGCTGGTCATTTCATAACAGTCGCCAGCCTGAATTACTGTAATAAGATATTTGGATCAGAGAGGTACCACTGAAAGCGGCTGTGGACATTTACAGTTGATAAATGTCTGTGCAGGTCTTAACAATCTTCAGTTGCCACTTAACAAACTTCCAAGATCGTTCCAACATTTAATTTTTCAACCCTAAATTCAGATGTCTTTAAAAATGTTTCTTAGTGTTCTGTCCTAGTGAGAAATATAGAGTCATGCAGAAATGGATGTAATTTCTCCACAGTTTTCATCATCAACACTTGTTAAATGAAATGTCTTAACGTGTGAATGTGCTAAATATTGATTGTATTGTTTGTTATTGTTTATTTCTTGGTGAGAGTTGGGTGTCTCCCCTCGTCTTTTGAGGGTGTACCCTGGTCAGAATTACCCTTTTTTATCGTGACATGTTTATATATAAATGCAATACTAATCTGTATTTTTAAATTAAGTTTTTCAAAACGAATCACTTTCACTGACCTGTAAAAGATCTGTTCAGAAATCCCACCGGCCTTTCCCTTATCTTCTTCTATCTTCTCTGTGTTTGTTATTCAGGCTTTGATCACATGTCAAGTGGGAGGTGCATAATCCTTAATTACACCAACACATAGTTGTGGTCGATAGGAGCGAGTCATCAAAGATCTGAGTCATTTACACAGTTTACAAACATCTTGCTCAGAACAATTAATGGCTTCAACATTACAGTTAATTATGGAAATTACTGAAGCAGCTCTGTTGACCGTTTATACCCTCTGAAACGTTAATACAACTTGTCCAGTGCATCTGTAGATATTCATGTATGTTTTACTGAAGATGAAGCTTGTTAAGATTTATTACACACAATAATGAAGGTTAACTAAGCTTAGATTTATACAGACATTTATACACTGTCATGAAACACATCACTGTCCCTGATGTGTTGCTGTGCTGCAGCATGTTGGGGTAATTGTTAAACAGGAGTTGTACAGTTAGTCTATTGAACAGGGTTTATTGGAGCCATGGTTTTAGACTCTGCTGCATGTTTAGCTCTGATCTGTCTCTTTGTCTCGTGCTTTCCTACCAGGAGCCATCAGTCCTCTGAGCGCTGCGGCGGCGGCGGCAGCGGCTGCGGGTCGTGTTGCTCTGTCGGGGTCTGGAGTGTCAGGAGTCCTGTTGGCCTCCAACCTAAACGAAGAGGTACACTGACCACAAATATAACTTAACTTAACTGTGACTCAGCGTTTCCAAGCGCTGCTTTAAGTGACTAATTTCAACTGTTGAACAGACGCTGCTGAATGATTTTCTTGAGTAACTGTGTGGATGTGTGGTTGCATGTGTTCTTAGGTCACTTTACAGCATGATTGATCATGCATCTTCCACCAAGGTGAAGTCCGTGTAATATAATTCAAGTTGGATTAAATTCACAGTGTGACTGTGGGTCCTACAGTCTCAGAGGAAGTTATATAGCGGTAAAATATTTCCAAGTATCATATCTGCAGAAAGTACAGACTGAATTTGTGCAAATGCCACAGTTACTGTTTAGTTTTGCATCTTTTAATTTCATGAAATAAGAAATGATCATGTTTAGTATCTGTTTGTTACAGGGATTGTATTGGCTTCTTTTCACTTCAAAAAATCCACACATGTAATTTTCCTAGCGGTGGTCAAACCTGTGCATACGACTGTGTATTTTTTATCTCAGATTTCTGCTTCTTCATTCAATTTTCTGATAATTCTCTTGTTGTAAATGTGTGCCTGCTCTGTCATGTGTATCTCTGAATCTACTGCACCTGTTACCTGTTTCCGTATGTTCCATCTCTCTGTCAGAGCCCTTCTCTCTCTCTCTCTCTCTCTCTCTGTCTCTCTCCCTCTCTCTCTCTGTGTCTTTGTCCCTCTCTCGCCCCTGTGGAGAGGGACTCCATAGTGGAGTGGTGGTTTTCACACTTCTGCCCCCCTCTGGTTAAAGTCTCGGTGCGGCAGCTGTATCCCGGCTGTTTTGGCGACACCGTGCGGTCACGCCTGGTGACTCGTCAGCTTGACAGCGGCAGCTCCTGTACTTGGGAGTATGCTCAATACAATCCAGTGGCTAGGTGCAGTGGTTGAGTGTGGTTGTGAGTGTTGAATCCAAGTGGTGGTTTTTCAATTACTTGTTCATCCTCTCTCGACCGTGTCCTCAAATGGGCAGACCAACATCTGTTAGCCGTTTTCATACAGAACCCTGTTTCCAGGTAGCGTCGCTATAGAAACTAATCTTTTTACAATTTAATTCCAGTTTGACAAAGTAGTTGATTAAGACCTAGACCCATAAAACATCTGCCAGTGATGATGGGGTATCATGTCCTTCACTTACAGCACAGCTGCAGCTGAGCTGGACTCCAAATGTCATGTTGGTTAAACACCTTCCTTTTTTTTTTTTTGGTGGGAATGAACACATTGCCTTGTAGCCTGTTCACCTCCAAGCTAACTGTTCCACGTCGACAGTTAGCTGTCGAAGTCCAGATAACTGTGATTTTCAGTTTTGTTGGCAGTGATTGTGTAAGTTAACACGTCACAAAATGAAAGTCTTGTTCTCATCATAGCACTGCGGTGTCCCTGAGAGCTCAACACACCGCAGCTTCAGAAAACACGTGCAAAGACACGAGCACGCTGCAGGTTCAGTCCTACATCGTAACGGAAGTGTTTCCAGGGGACATTAAAAAGTGATGAACCCGGCTGTGACGCACCTGTTATCCAGTAAGCCCCAGCCAGGTTCATCACTTTTTAATGCCCCCTGGAAACACTTCTGTTGTGTTTGTAGGACTGAATTCACAGCGAGCGCGTTTGAGTGTTTGCACGTGTTGTGAGTTTTTTTTCGCAGCAGCGCGTCTTGTCGTATTGATGAAGATGTTTTCTGAATCCGCAGCGTGTTTGTGTCTTTGCATGTGTTTTCTTAAGTTGCGGTGCGTTGAGCTCTCGGCCACCGTATAACACAGTATATTGAATGATCCATTCAAAGGTGATTGCTTTTTGCCATGACGACACAGGTCTCATGGAAGGATGGACAGGTCAATAACAAAAGAAATTTATTCAAATTGACCGATTGAAAAGTAAAACAAAAAAATATCTTTCCATTAAAGCAATCAAAGTGAAGATGCATTTTTATTTATTTTTTGTTTATGTACAATTCCTTTACATGTAACTCAACGTGTGTTGGTCTGTTCTGCCAGTCGTAGACAGTTATCCTGTTACATGTGATCTGATTGGCCATCTGCTTCATGGTACCGCCCCCTTTCTGGTTTGATATCTCCTGCCACTCAAGTCTGTCATTCACTTATTTATTTCCTGATATATTCATCCATCCATTATTTTCAACCTTCCTCCCATCCTTTATTTTCCTCACTGATAAATGCATCCAGCAGGGTGTGTGCATGTGTGTGCGTGTGTGTGTGTGTGTGTGCGTGCGTGTGTGTGTGTGTGCGTGCGTGTTAACAAAACTGGAAAAAGTGTGTGTGTGTGAGGCTGTGTGTGTGTGTGATGCTGTGTGTTTGTGTGTGTTTGGAAACAAACCAGCAATCATTCAGACTCCGTTGATGTCCCACTGATGCTCTGTTTACTGACCTCTGCTTTGGTTTTTGTGTCCCCTCCCCCACCCCCTCCTTTCCTCCCTCCTCTGCTCCTCCCTTCACACGTTTATTTTCTCTCCATTTGTCTCTCCTTTTGGCCAAACATCCTTTAATGTCGTACACTTCTCTTAAACCCCCCTCCTCCCTCCTCCCTCCTCTGATGTGTGTTTACCTCTCTTTTCTTTCCTTTTCCTCACGTCACTTTTCTTACTCTGGTCTAACCTGACTTTGGCTTTGCCGTTTTGATCCACTCTCCAAACCCCCCCTCCCTCCCCTCCCTCCCTCCCTCCTCCCCCCTTCCTCCCCCCCATGCCTTCCATCTTTGCTCCACTCCTCCTCATCATGGAAACCACCACCTACCCCTCGTCCAACGCTGGGCGGTCTGATCTCTACCTTCGTCTCTCCTTCTTCTTCCTCCTCTGCTCCTCCTCTTCCTGTCCTCTGCTCTGCGGTCTCTCTCTCTAAAGATGGTCACGCCTCAAAGTCTCTTTACCCTCTTCGGTATGTTCAACCTCTACTATTCTATCTGTATATCTCTCTCTGTTAATCCTATTTTTGTTCACTTTCTTCAGTGATGTCGTGGACACGCTTTATTCCTCTATATCTTTCCGTGTCTCCAAGCCTCCCTCTTTCACATTGTTCACTACAGAGTTAAAATCTACTTCTGGTCTCTGCGTTAAAACATAGTGATCCTGAGAGACTTTGTGTTTGGTCAGCTTACCTCTTAACTGATGAGAACAAAGACACCAAAATCATTCATGTTGTCGAAACATCGAAGCCAAACCAGATTCACGGTTTGTAGGTTGAGATTTTAATGATATGATAATCCTGGCAGTGCAGTGCAGTGCTGTTAGCAACTGATTGGAGCCTGTAACGAGGGCCTGTTGTATGTTTACCCAGACTGCATCATGGTGTGCCTCTCTAAGCACTGTGCCATAGTTTGAAAATTTGGTGTGAAACCTCCAAAATCAAGCGTTGGACTGATTTGATGAAAACAGACACCGACGACGGCTTCACAATAAAAAGCTGCCGTCACATGTTTTCGTGAGAAGCAGCTACAGTTTTGCAGTGACGATAATTAGCACTGAATCAGGATTCATTAGAGCGCTGATGGTACAGACAAAACGCTGAGGATCAAATCTGTTAGATGAAGGGAGGAGGAGGAGGTTTGTTCACGTTTTAATCACTAAACTGACGCTCACAAACCTCTTATCAGACATTTTTCTCTTGTTGTGATCTTCTGTTTTGAGCAGAACGATCTGTGAACGTGTCAAAGGTTTCTGCTCTCTGTGAGCCAGTCTCTCTGCTTGGCCTCACATTATTACAGAAAGAAAAGACCAATTGTCCAGCAGCACTCTGTTGTTCTGTCAGTCGACTGTCTGGCTGTTGAAATAATTTATTCAGTATTTGTTTTTTGGCTAAAAATATCAATCTAGAGTCTGTCATCAGGAAACTGTCTGTTAAATGGTTTGGTGTACGACACTGGAGCCTCCGTTCTCCCAGGGACACGAGGATTATTTTAGTGTTTTATGTTCTCACCACATTAACGGTTAAGTTGCTCACTGAGACTCGTTCTAGCTTTTTAAACCCTCTGCGTCTCTTCCTTTCTGTTTTGCCTCTTTCTCTAGATTTTGTATTAATCATGTGCAGTCACATTACACCTTTTTCATTTTATTCTACCTACGACTTTGCAGTTGGGATTACCTGCCACTCAGTCACATTAAGTTAGACATATAGACTAGCCCAGCAGTTTTCTTTTACATATTTACTTGCTGGACCAGTTTTAGCCACTTTGGCACATCTTCCTAAAAAGACCTAAAAAGAACAGGATCTTTTTAGGTCTTCTTTGTTTCCTCATATAGTATGTTCTGTCTTAGATTAGTGCATATCTTTTTGAAGTGTCTTCTCTCCTACAATGTCCGCTCATAGTCTTACGCTTTTAATCACCTAATCAAGCTGGGTGTCTGACTCGTGCACACGCTGCTAAGTCTAAACGTTAACCGTCAGCCAGACGCCTCAGCTGAGGTGTCGTGACTTTCCTTCACTGCTCAGACTACTTGGTTTACACAGAAGCGTTTGATTGAGTTTTTCTAGTGCAAGTCAAATCAGAAGATTCCATCTTTTCTTTTCATTTGTCTTTCTGGCACTAACTTTATTCCTTTCATCCTTCACACCTCTTCTTTTTTTATCTTCGCCGGCTTCATCTCTCCTGCTCTGTCTGTCCTGTCCTCTTCCTCATCTTCGCCTCTACCCTGCTCTCTCTCTCTCTCTCTCTCTCTTGCTTGCTCTCTCCCGCTCTTGGTCTCTCTCTCTTTCTCTCTCTCTCTCTCTCTCTCTCTCTCTCTCCCTCTCTCCCTCTCCCTCCCTCTCTCTCTGGCACTCTCTCTACCTTCAGGAGTCTATGGTGATGTCCAGAGGGTGAAGATCCTCTACAACAAAAAGGACAGTGCTCTGATCCAGCTGTCCGATGGCAACCAGGCTCAGCTGGGTGAGTTTTGAACGTTCATAATATGTCACTGAAAAATAAGATGAATAAAGACTTGGCTTGTTTTTTTTTATTTTTTGTTTAATTAAAATCAGAAGTGCATATCCTGATAAGGTCACTTGCAGGTCCCAAGTATATGAACATTTTAAAGGTGCATGAATGTTTGAGATTTTTATTTAGTGGGATTGAAGTGAAATGAGCTTTTTGACAGAATATTTACACCAGTTAGTGTTTAACCATACTGAGAAATAAAGATTATATATATATATATATGTGCATGTATGTGGGTTTTTGTTTTTGTTTTTGTTTGCATTATGGATGTGATATGACAAATGAATGACCCTGTTGCATTATCAGTAAATATCGTTTAGATTTCTCACCTGCTCATATTCTCTATTTTTTATGACTTAAATTTTTACAACTTTTCATAATTCCACATTACAAAAACACACTAGTCTTAGATAATAATAGTACAGTAATAATAATAAATAAATAAGATAATAGAATAAAATGTAGAATAGACATTTAAACAGCGTCCACGTGTTCATTTCTGTTGCACCATCACCACATCCATCTCTCCACATCCATGACTGCCACCATCCCAAAAAGGTGTATTTACAGATTCAAATAACATGTTGAAAACGGACAGACTTCAAAAAATCCACACATGTAATTTTCCCAGCGGTGGTCAAACCTGTGCAGACGACGTATTTTTTATCTCAGATTTCTGCTTCTTCATTCAATTTTCTGATAATTCTCTTGTTGTAAATGTGTGCCTGCTCTGTCATGTGTATCTCTGTGAGTGAAATGGCAGAAACATTCCTCGTTCGTCAGTCTATGTGATATTCCTTCAACACACCTGCTCATATTTTCTGTTTTTCTCCTCGTGTAGCAATGAGCCACTTGAATGGTCAGAAGGTGTTCGGTAAAGTGATGAGAGTGACGCTGTCGAAGCATCAAACTGTGGCTTTACCCAGAGAAGGACTGGACGACCAGCTCCTCACTAAAGGTTATTTGTTTTCTCAATCTTTATATGTTTGTAAAGGCAATAATATACAGTGTTTAATCTTAAGTCCTAATAATAATAACAATAATGTTTCACCCAGCATTATCGTTTTCTTTACGACTGTTTTGTTTCTGTCGGACAGATTTCTCCGGCTCTCCACTCCATCGCTTTAAGAAACCAGGATCCAAGAACTTCCAGAATATCTTTCCTCCCTCTGCGACACTTCATCTCTCCAATATCCGGTAGAACAGCGTATCTCAGTCAAAGTCATTCGGCAATTAGTGTAGCGGTCTCATCGACTTTATGCTGCTTCGCTTCAAGGCTGTAAATAGTTTGTCTTTTTCATGCCCAGGGACGGTGTTGGAGAGGATGATCTCCGTCTTCTGTTCTCCAACAGCGGAGGAACTGTCAAGGCCTTCAAGTTCTTCCAGTAAGAAACAATTTAGTGTGACGCTCTTTACAGTCCCTCCAGGATTTGGCAGCTTTTTGTGAGATTGTTTTGCAACAGAAATACATGATATTTGATATATGAAACTGGGAGAAAATTTAAAACAAGCTCAAAATGTTGCTATCTTTTATTTGTATAATTCATTAAAAATTAAAGGCAACTTGTTCCAGTGAGAATAAATCCAGGTCAGTGCAGGTGGTGACCCAGTCTTCATGAATGTCGCACAGAATTCACAGGGGCTGGTTGAGTGTGCGTTAATTATTGCGATCGAGACGTTGCGACTTTCTGGAGGGACTGTCTTTAAGACACTTAAAACGTCTACAGTTGAAGAAGTAAATGGTGCCAAGTGCACACACACTTTCACTTTCGCTTTTCATACAATTCAGCTGTTTGTCTCTGTGCTTCCTCCATCAGGGACCGGAAGATGGCCTTGATCCAGATGTCGTCAGTAGAGGAGGCAATCCAAGCGCTGATGGATCTTCACAACTACGACATGGGAGGGAATCACCATCTAAAGGTTTCCTTTTCAAAGTCCACCATCTAAGCCTCACGCCCGATTCCTCAACCTTAAGATCCATTACGAGCGAGGGAAGTCACTCCCATTTTCCATGTTTTATGTTCTGTTAACCTCTTCTGTGCTATCCCGAAAAAACTTAAATTAAGTCGTACAGTAACACACACACACAATGTGTTTTTGAATGTCCAATTAAACATTATGAAGCCACAGACTAAAATGTGAATCATACAGACCTTAAGATTAGAAAACCATCTTCCAACGATCATTAAGAACAGACAGGCCTTTCGTAATGTACGACGAGTCCTGAACGTCATCCGTGAAAAGAGAGAGATAGTAAACATGACGCTGAAAACACATTGGCATTATTTTTGTGATTCACTCTGTCGATCTGGATCCCAAACTACTGAACTGTGAAGCATTAGCTGAAGTTGTGTTGACCCTTGAATCCCTGGCAACAGCAATCAGAAATCATCCAGGGATAAAAGGCATTGATATTTCAAAGAGCGTCAGATTTCTTTATTTGCTGACGACACACTGGTATATCTCTAAAAACAAAAAACCACCACCTAAGGTGTAAATCAACAATACCAATCAACAATTCAGCCTCTGTCACAATAACTGGAAATGAGTTCAAGTATTTAGGAATAATGATCCCATGTAGTTTAGCCCCATTGTTGCTGTTTGGACAGACAGATGACTCTTCCCCCAACCTTAATTAGCAAAATTAATGTTATTAAAACAAAAACCCTGGACACATCTCTCTACTCCGACTCTCTCAGGAGGCTTAACAACTAACCCGTATGTTAAAACCACAGTTACAGCTTGGTATGAATCACGTTTTCTCCTATTAGGGGGGTAACACAGTGTTTGCATCAGGTAATTCAGACTCTGGGCTCAGACGGGTTTATATCCTAGACCTTCAGACAGATATTACAGAGCTAGTTTATCCATTAGAAGTAAGATTTAAATCAATCCAAAAATAATTGGCTTGAGAGGACGTAGCCTGTGTAACTCTTGATGAATTCCTTATATCCCAGAACAGAGAAAGGTTCCCGATTTCCTTTGCATGTGGAGGTGTAAATACATAATAATAATAATAATAAAGCAATAAGCAACACAATTTCCAACATCATCCACAAAGAACTCATGAAAGTAAATGAGTTTAATGACCTCTGCTTATTACAAGCGAACTGTCTTAATGTGAAATATTAAAACAGAGTTTGTGGTGGATTAATGAGCTTTAATCAAACAAACAAAAATCATATATTTCATAATAATATATGGGATTCATCTCGTACATTTTTGGAATCATTACCTGAAAACTTCTTAAATGTGGCATTTACCAACTTAGACTTTACTCCTTTTGCATTTCTTTTTTTTTTTTTCTCCCCCCTTTTCGATATACGGATATGTAGTTATGCATTTGTGCACATTGTTGTGTGTGTGTATAAGTAATTTATTTATTTTCGTCATTTTGTAAACTATCACTGTTTTTATAAACACTGATGGCAATCAGTTCATGGGTGGGAGGGAAGTTGTTTTGAGGAAGATTTGAAAGATGTAAACAGACCGGTCTAGAAAAGTGATGTATGATGTTCAAAAGCAAGAGACAATAGATAAGTAATAGATACAACAAGTTAAACATTATAAAGTTTCAGTTAAAAAGATTCAGAAACACCTGATCACATGATGTAAACTCTTGACCAATAGAAGCAGTTCTTAGCCAAACCCCGTTCCTGCTTTTACCCTCATGACACGTTCAAGAGCGGCTGATCACCTCGCTGCAGTGATGTAGAGCTGTACTCCTGGGTGTGTCACGACGTTGTGACATCACTGTTGGGTGTGGTTATATACAGCAGGTGAAACGGACTCTCTCACCTGTCGGCACAGCAGTAGACTCTTTGAGTTCCTGTGATTAATCATCTCTTAATTCTTTGTACGTTCTTTTGTTCTTAAGCAAATTCCTATTTGAACCATAAAATATTATTGCTCTAACAGTTGCCCCCCCCCCCCCCCCCCACACACATTCGTTTTCCTCATCAAGTATGTGACTCCTCTTCCCTCTTGTCATTTGAAGATTTGTTTTGGACAGTGCAGTTTCTGCCACGCTCATCCATCAGTGTGCTGATTCACTCCTTCACACCTCTTCCTGTTCGTCTCTGCACTTTGGTGCATTCAAAATAAAAAAATAAAATAAAAACACCAACTGATATCTTGGACACGTCATCCAAGCTACAAGTATAAAGGAGTAGAGGGCGTGTTGTTTCACATCTACAGTGTAAATATGGCCAGTGTTACATTACCAGCACCCAATGTTACTTGGTAGCTCGCAGCTTAAAGAAAACTGAAATCGTTTAAACGCCAGACGTAACTTTAGAACCAGGGAATCCTCAGAGGAGACGGAGTGAACGACGCGTGCTGCCATTTCCAGTTTCAAGAGACATTTTTTTGTGAACTGTGAACAATCGCTCTGACGCCGTTTATACGTGATGCCCGTTTGATTAAAAAGCAGCAGGCTCATTGTGGCCAGTCTGCGGGGGGGGGAAATGCATTCTGGGAAATGTGAATCATAATTTGAAGCTAACGATGCTTGTTGAGGACAATTGAGAACTCCCCCCCCAAAAAACTTCCTCTACAAAAATAACCTGGAATGTGTGTGTGGACATTAACACTTTGTAATGATGCTGAAGGTGGAGCTTTCCTTGAAGAATAGAGCCATCTGTAATGTTCCCGTTTAAATCCCATCCCAGCCTTTTGACAACCACAGACAGACACACACACACACACACACACACACACACACAGACACACACATGATTCTACACACACAGGATGCATGCTCTTGCTCTCTGTTGAGACGACGTTTCAACATGTGATTCTGGTCTTGGTCTCTGGTTTTGGGAGGAGACCTGTTGGGACCAAAGTACATGATCCTTTTAAGTCTGTGGTCTGATATTACTATTGATTCTTTTTGTGACTTTGAACGTTTGATTTTACTGGTGATGTTTGTTGATCCTGTGTTGTAAACCTGTAGAAACACATTATTTTGTTAATTTTCTAAAAAAAATAAACAAAAAACCAGATGTGAACCTCTTATCAAGCCGACGACTGTGTCAGCGTTTGAACTGAGTTCATGTCCAAAGTCTTTTAGGGGATTGTTGTAAATTCTTTACTTGAATTCAGTTTTTTTAATTTAATTTAATCTGTTTTTTTTTTTTGTCATAAGATTTCAGATTAGCACAAATTAAACATGCCTTTTCTACCAAGGAGCCCAGGTTAAATTGTGTGTGTTAGTGTGTGTTTGGACCGGGTTCAGACCTCTGCTTTCATCTGTCTTACCTGTCGACCTGTCAATAAACTTCTCTCACTTTGTTCAGCTCTGTCTCTCTGCTCTGATCTCCTCTCGTCTGCCTCCGAGCTGCTCTGTTCCCTCATTCACACTGTGGAGGGAGGTGACTTTATTTTAGTTTTTTCTTTTCAATCTTTATTCAAAAACATCCAAGTGTACAAACAGTACAAACGTGCTCAATATAGTTGTGGACATAGTCGAGAGTAATAATTACAAAATAATAGAAAAAAGAAATGCATAAAAATAAAGAAAATAAGAGGAACAATAAGAAAAAATAAAAACAAATTGAGATAATCAACTACAGTAAAAACAGAACTAGAATCACGGCCTCGTGGTCGTATCCCTCCGCCACTCTGACTATTTTCAGGTTACATCCCTGTTTATCCAGAGTCATAAAATATGAAATTTTTGTCATGAATAGTGTTTTGTGGGGTCATCACGCACTTGAACTTTGACCTTTGACCACCATAACCCACGCAGTTCACCCTTAAGTCCGTCCTGTTCTCCTGGACACGATATCTCAGGAACGCCTCGACGGAACTTCATCAAATTTTTGGCGCAAACATTCACCAGGACTCAAGGGTGAACTGATTAGATTTTGATGACTAAAGGTCAAAGGTCAAGTTCACAGTGACCTCACAAAACATGGTTTTTTGTCCTTGTGAACGCGGTATCAGAAATTATGACAAAATTTCACACTAATGTTTAATATTCTATGACTGAATAAACAGGGATGTAACCTGGAGCGAGTCTGAGTGGCGGAGGGATACGACCACGAGGAGGTGATTCTAGTTCTAAGATAAGACTGTATAGAAGGAAATGAGCAATAAGAAACCTTTGGTCTCCTCTGTCTGCTCTCCTCCTTTTATTTCTTTATCAAATAATCACTAATGAAGATCTTATTATGGCACATTCAGACCTTAAAAAAGGGGGAAGACGAAAGAAGGTAAATATAGACTGATGGACTCATTCTAGTTAATTACCAGTGTTTGGTTTAATTAAGGAGCGATTCGGTGAGACAGCAGCTCAGCAGCTGCACGAATTGGTTTGTAATTATAAAGTGTGAAGGTAGTCGGCAGGACACACACATCACTCAGCTGCTGCAGGGGCGCCTGGGAAAAAAAAGCTCCTTGAATCTGGCACAAACATTCACTTGGACTCGAGGTTGAACTGATTAGGGTTTACTGGTCAAAGGTCAAAGGTCAGTGAGACCTCACAAAATGTGTTTTTGGCCGTAACTCAAGAATTCACATGCTAATTATGATGCAATCTAACATCCTACTGAAATGTCCAATAGGATGAAATGAGAAAGTTCACTGTGACATCACTATGTTCTGCAAAAACACTTGTGGCCGTTATTCAGCGCCACAAGTTCCTCAGATTAAGGTTTTGCAAAACATACGATCGTCTGTGATCGAAAGTACGATGCGTTGTCACGGATCAAATAATTTCACCACAAGAAAAGGCTTCCTTCTTCTGAAGTCAGTCATCATCATCCATCCAGACGAATTCATCAGAAATGAAACACATTTTAAAAACCTAGTACCTGTCCGGATCCTGATTTTACACCCGTGACGTCGTCTGACAAAATCACCAAAGTCAAAGACTGAGCTGTGACTTCAGCCGGATTTACTGAAACATGATCAGAGAGAAAGTTAGAAGCACAGCCTCCGTCTGGATCCACAACAGTTTAGTCTTTATTCACTTCAGCTGTTTACTAGAGGCAGGTCTTTATGTCTGACTCCCTCTGTTTCATCGTTAGTTCGAAGCCTCGTTACCGACGACCCCCCCACCCCCGGCTAAGTAATGATATAATAATAATAAAAAAATGCCAAGTGTAATGATCTTCATGTGTGTGGCATGGCACTTTAAATGCAGTGTGGTCTGTAAACCACCAGAGGTCAGTGTGAGTCAAGTCCTGCTGCTGTCTCTGGTCAGTCACCACAGGTGCGTTACAGGAGTAAGACAGTGAGACGTGCATCACTGAGGTTGGAGTTAGTTACTGTGATAAGAGACTCACATGAAATCTGCTTGAAAGACACTCAGAGGTGATCAGTCAGAGTCATCTACAAGTACGTTTCTTAACCGAGCAGACAAAAGCAATATGTTTAACGACATGTTAATTTTAGTGCCTCAGGCTACCTGTTTCCCCCTGTTTCCACTCTGTGTGCTAAGCTAAGCTATACTAAGCTAACCTGTTGCATGTGGCCGACCTTGTTTCTGTAACGGATCGGGCTGGATTCATTCTATATTTTACCGATTGTCAACAAAAGACCAGAAGACTCGACGACACTTTGTTTGTTGTCGGGTTGTTTGTCAAACTTCTTGAAATTTGGCTCGTTCACCTGGACTCAAGGATGAACGGATTACTCAAAGTCAAAGAAAGAAAGAAAACACTTTTTAGCCATTACTCAAGACTTCACACAGCAATTATGAAATTTCACACAAATGTTTAATATTTTATATATGACCCTGGATAAACAGGGATGTGACCTGACACCAGTCTGAGTGGCGGAGGCAGACGACTGTGAGGCGATAATTTTATAGTTTATTTATAGTAGTTTTCAACGCTGTGATCACCACAAATTAAGTTCCATTCACCTCCACTGTACTGAAGTGAAGGCGGACAAATAAACCAAAACCGCATGGCTGGAGTGATGTCATCGGGGTGAAGTAACCCTTTAATAACCCTCTGGACTCTGGTTGTTCAGTGGAGAACACGATGAACATGTTTTATTTACATGAATGTAACTTTATTTATATGGTCGTGTAGAGACAAGCTGAGATGTGGGGCTTTAAAAACACGACCTGATTCACGTGCAGGTCATTTATTAAAATCAGGTTTTAAAATAGTGAGTTTCTAACATTAATTAATATATTCAGTTGGATTTCTAATGAAAAAGTTGAAGAATAAACTTGCTTTACGTGTAGACTGTAACTTTAGAGCTTTAGTTCTTCCATTTTGAATTGTTTTCATTTGTATAAACATGAAACAATAATTTTTACAACCTTAAACTGTTGTTTGATCATATTCTGAGTAATTATAACTAAAGATTTTTAAATTTACAGCCTCCTGTGTTATTTTTCTGAAAGCTTTACACACTTGTGGAGTAAGAACAGCTGAAGAGATCGACCCTGACTCCAGAGGGTTAAATGTTTAGTGATTTTATCAAGTTTCACATTCAGAGCTCAGATGAGGGTCTCTTTGTCTTTCAGAGAAGGCGCCCACTTCCTCCCCGTCTCCTGGTTTTGGGTTTGATCTCCTGCCGTTATCAGGCTTGATCCTCCTTAAATGGAAATAAAGGAGAGAGCTGTTCTCTGATGAGAAACAAAAAAGAAAGGACAGAAAAGAAAGAGCTCTAATAAATCTAACCATGAATATCAAATATATATTTTAAGGATAGAGTTTTCAAGCAAAGCATTCACCTTGAAGAAGTCGTGGAGACAATTACAAGAGCTGTATTTTTCATTATTAGCTGCAGAATCCGTCCGTCTTAAGTTATGCAGGTGGACTGCAGATGCTAATTTCTCCAGAGACGTCTTTCTGTCTCTGTTAGCACAATGTGTGAACGGTGGCCTCCCTAACTTTTACCCAGTGCACGCTGGGGTAGGAAGGAAGGAAGGGCAAAAGGAAGGAGGGAAGGAAGGAAGGAAGAAATGT